ATAAACTATGTGATGATAAAACGAACGTGAATTTCAAATCTATTCGATTTATTAACACGCGGTAACGACCTTTTGTCAGGTGGCGGGAATAACTTTTCTGTTGGGCAAAGGAAGTCAGGATAACAAGTACATTATGATCAAAAAAGATTTCTATTTTCGCTGAATGAAAACTAACGTATATTCCCTACCGCTCATGATAACTTGCATTCTATCATTTCCTGTATTTTACAGCGGAAAACAAACGAAAAAAATATTTTTATTTATAACCAAGTTAAGAGACTTAAATTGTAATTTCATTAAAGTGGTGAATATTTATAATTGTCAAGAATCAAGATATAAAGGCAGGTACAACTAAGAACAGAATTTGTCTCAAAAATGAAAACAGCCAGAGAAAAACAAATATAAAATTTAGCAGTAACAAATTCCACAGAATGAAATGGCAACCTAGGTCTGAAGGTTATTGAATTCAAGTATTTTTTGATCCGCCTCGATAATCTTAGCTTCGATAGGGTTAAGCAATTCCAATAATTAACTGATAACCAAGAATTAAATAGGAAACCCTGTCAGTTAACTCCGTTTCGTATTTTTTGTTTTGTGATTAGTAACTTCCGCTAATTCTGCATAGTTAATAAGTTGTTTCGAGATCTTGTTTTGACGAGAATGCCTTCAAACAACTGGAGGGTAACAAGTAACAGTGTAAGAAGAAAACGAATTATCACTGACAAATTATGATTGATGGAGGATCCGATCAGCGACTCTTTTCTCCACTTTTCTCGTTTCTTGAAATGTAATTTTTCGTGTCTCATTTTTTTCCTCTTGAGCTTTCAACAATTTGTTCTCAGGCAACGCACACGACAAGATGATCCAATGTAACTCATTTTTCAAAAGTCAAGAAAAGTAGATTAGCTGAGTATTCCATAAAACAATACTGCCAAACAAGATGATGTGAAATGTTACCTCCAGTCCTGTTAATTATTAACCTTTACATTTCCCTTTTATTAGAAATGATCTTTGCACACGTGCTTGATCACATAATTTCTGAAAGGAATCTTGTCATAGCTATGTAATTTAATTAACAATCGGTCGAAAGAAGTATGCTCTAAATGACTTCACTTTTAATTTCACACCAGCGCATTTTAACATAAATTCAAATTGTACGCAACAAATTATTTTTTGCCAACATTTTCGAAAAACCGTGTCGCCAATAAACGACCTCAAGAGTTATCCAACAAAAAAGGAGGAAATTTACTGGCTTCAAAATCACACCATTGGATCAAATTTCTAATTCGAACTAATCTAATCGAGTTTTTCTTACGGAGGCCAAAAGCTGAGAAATCCATAAAGATTAAAAAAAAACCTTCGACCCACCGCTGTAGAGTCAACAGTAGTAAATCGTATCGTTTATTTAACCAATAATACAATATTAAATTTGATTTTCCTCCAAAAATAAGCTCAAATTCAAGCGCATAGCATATTTTCTTCGAGGCATATCAGTTACACGATAACGCATTTAAACTCAAAATTTAAGGGGTTACCTGGTTGGTGGAATTGATGTCGATCGAGCCAATCGGGTTTCATGTCTTATCCTACGCATACGACAGTTAGTCATGTTGTAAACATGTTTTTACGACCGCCAACTCGAAGGACTGATAAAACACTTGGCTTAGAATTGGTGTAATATTTTACTCTGCTGCTAGCCACTTTAAAAAAGGTACGAGCTCTCTCCACCGGTCTTACATCTGAGGAACGAAGAAAGTTCTCTAGTATCTATAGAGGTAAATTAGCGCACAATTTCAGGTGATACTGTTGATTCATTTTTTTTATCGTTTTTCCTTTTAGATAGTCGCAAAAACAAGGTAAGAGAATAATTTAGCTCCTCTTATTAAGTGTGGCATGAATTGACCAGCAAATTTTCTTTTCGCGTTTTCTCTCTTATCAGTGAGTCAATTACTATTTTCAAGATCAGATTGGTTTTGAGATCAGAGAATCACGGTGAACTGCTTCAACTCCTAAGATCCTTCTAAATACCATATCAAGAGATTCATTGGGTGTCATGTTTTGTGTCACTGAAGACAGCAGAAACAAATAAAAAAAACCAGTGCATGTAACCCTTCTGCAAGTAATGTGCTTTGCCTCATTTTCTCTCTATTTACAGTTGAAGGATAAACAACATACAAGCTGGTGTGAACATGACGCCCAACATTAAGGTGTTTTGGCTGATTTTACCGCTGATTGCTCTTTGCTATGCAGCAAAAAACAGCAGCAGCGGCGAGAAATCTAATGGTTACATGGTAAGTTAATTCTTTCCAAATATATCCCAACATTGTTATTGTCATCATCTTGTCTGATTGTGTCAGTCAGTGTCATTCCAAAAGAGAATGGTAAAGGAGAAATTCACTGAAAACTGGAAACAGAAGAAAGATTGCCCGACACTTTGATTCTTAGAAAGATGAATTTGTCACAACTGATCTTAAAACAAAAAGTAGTTATAATTCTTCCATGAACAAAAGTTATGTGTGTTTTTTTCTAAACACAGGGCGCTTACCCATATCCACCGCATGGACCCTGTGCTTATGGTACTCCTTTTGGCGCGCCAGGGATACCAGGTATTCCCGGGAGCCCAGGACCCGCGGGACCCACGGGCATCGCAGGACCACCCGGTCCTCGTGGTTCTACGGGACCACAAGGGGACAAGGGCGACGCCGGAAAGCCAGGAAACCAAGGCCTTACAGGTCCACAGGGACCTCCAGGAAAAATGGGACCTCAAGGGTCCACAGGCCGACAGGGTCCACGAGGAACCAAAGGTGATGCAGGGGATAAAGGAAGCCAGGGAGCCCCAGGCCTCCGGGGACCTCCAGGAGCTCTGGGAAGTAATTGGAAACAATGTGTATTCAAAAATTTAAACGATGGAAAGGACACTGGCTTGATAAAGGTACTTCAGTTTTTCTTTCAATTAATTGCAATTTTACAAAATCGTATTTGACATCATTGCTTGAATAGACGATTCCTATCAAATTTTGACTAAAAGAAGATCGAGTTATGCAGCAAGCTAAAATAATTTTTTTCTGTGGCAGAAGAACGAAACTGTGAAGATAAACCCTAAGTAGTTAAAGGATTCGTAAACTGGACTTGATTTAGGACTTATATCGCTCAGAGACATTTTGAATTCATATTGTTCACAGTTAACCATCATTTATTTCTCCAGGAATGCCTTTTCATCAAAAAGTCGGCCAAAACAGCTCTGCGCGTGTTTTGGAGTGGCAACCTCCGCCTCTATAACTGCCATGGTTGCTGCAGACGATGGTATTTCACCTTAAACGGCGCAGAGTGCTCAGCTCCTGCTGCAATTGATGGCGTAGTCTACATGGTACATGGAAATGGCGGCAAAAAGGATTTACACCGCCCCCGTCATATCGAGGGTGTGTGCGAGAAAGTCCACAAAGGTGTTGTGCGCGTGGGATTCTGGGTCGGTAACTGTAAAGGTTACGGATCTGCTGACGCATACACAGGCTGGAACTCAGTGTCCCGGATCTACGTGGAAGAAGTACCACCCCCACAGGCATAATGTCTTATAACCTACCATGGTTTCATTGCTCAATATCTAACAGCAGAATAAGAACAATAGCACAATCAGGAACCTTAGATTTAACAGTCGGGATAAAATACAGTAAAGTTGTGAAATCGGGCATTTTTAGCTTCTGAACTATGTAGAGTGGGGATGCTGCCATGACAACTCGCAAATAAAAAGAAGGTTTTCACTAAAAATCCAGGAGTGTTTGGTGTGTGTTTGGTTATTAGGGCTGAGCTCATTTCAAAGACCTCGTTTATGATGTTTTGACATTTGACCGTTTATCTCAGTGTAGAAAATAAGAGCACCCACGAGTGAGTCCTGCTACAAACTTCTTTCCTGACGGGATTCTTTCCAAAAAATTGAGATTCATGCGTAGAAGAGATTTAAGTCCTGTATATACCGAAAATGTTAGGCTTCTGTTGCTACTCCGACATGGAACCGTCCTATATATGTAATAATAGTGGATGTCGAATTATTATTTAAAGGCCAAAAAAAAAAACAGACAAACAAACAAACAAAAACATTCAAGCTGATAACCTTATTGGCAAGTAACCTATATCTGCAAGAGCAACGCGCTCGGATTTCTCTTACTCTCCTTTTATCACCTTTAAAGAATAAAAAAAAATCAGGATAATTGTAATAGATTCATTCGTTTGAAAGCTATAAGCTCATCATCCGACAATAGTCGTCTTGTTTGACCAAAAGAATAAACCTTTCCTCTTTCCTTAAGAATTTGAATGGCTCCAGTAACAGACACCTGGTGGAGACGTTATCGTAGTAATGAAACTTATCAGGCTAAATCATAACCATTACAATTTCCTCAGATGTGATTGGTCCGTTAGTTGCTTTATTTTCTCTAATTATTATGTACAGATGTAATCGGACAATTGGCCGTGATCGGACACCTATAACCGGACAGTTAAAGCAGCCAATCATACCAAGTCCACTCAGCAAAATCCACCAATCACATAATTAATAACAATAACCATAGTAATAACCACTTACCCTTCAAAACTGGCGAATTTCCAAAATGGAGGAGGTTTTTACCTTAGATAATCAATTCTGAAAGCCCTTTCTCAAATTAATTCATTTGATCTTCTCGGAAATTGAAATGGTTGTGATTATTGTTAACAGTACTTCATATTGTCCAGTTCGGTCTGTAATCATGCTCGTGATTAACAAATCGGACTCCCGCTTTGCGATGGTCAGATTTCGTAATGACTCGTTTGATTAAAGACCAAATGAAACTCTAGTCAGTCCTATTATTATTATTACTAAGTCACAACATCTAATATTATAAACTTCAAATGTGTACGCTAGCGAAAAATTATGGGCGAACTGTAGTAAGCCTTCCACATCTCAGCAAGCAAAACCCGAGATTTCATCTTAAAGGTACTCCACACGAAGAGGAGGAGGGTTTTTATTGCTTCTGAAATTGTTGTAATATTACATCTGTGACTTCGACTGGGCAAAAATAATTAAGCATAATGGGCATCACTTACTGACCCAGTTATGGAACGTGAGGCGTGTGTTCAAGTTTGATTATTTTATTTAGAATAAAATATCTTGCGATATACGTGTAGTTGTTGTTAAAGTTCTTTGATTGTCAATAATAGAAGGCATTTCACAATCAAATACTTTGAAATATAGTGGATATAACCTAGATTGCCACAAGCTGACTAACCATAATTGTGATGAAATTCAATAAAACTGTAATAATCTGATCAATTTATATTCATGTCTATCTGGCTTACACAATGTCGAAGACGAGCTTTGATGCGCTCGCCTTTTCTCTGCATTTCGTGAACTTTAAACGGATATTTTACCTCGACATTGACGAGATCATGAAAACTTACTCTCCCACCATAAAAACGTTTCATTGCCACTTCAAGGTCGCATCACTGTAACAAATAGTTGAACGTAAATTCAGAATCTTTACTATTTCTGATGAGCGCTGTTTTTTTCGTTTTCAATTCACTTTGTTAAGCACAGATGATACCCAATGAACTCAATTATGTTCATAATAGGTACTTATGCGGTCGATATTTCATTTCCATCCGTTTTTGGTATGACGACATGAACATTGGATGGTGATAAGTTTTAAAACACACTAAAGTCACATTCGCGCTCGGGGTGGAATAACACAGATCTGAGGGACAACATAAATAAATTTTTCACCATACGGACCGACCCTAGGCCGGTAAATAACATATCTATTTTTTTAAAAACTTAACGAAATTCTTTCCGAAAGAACCCGAATGATTTAGGGTTGTAAAGACGTCAAAATCTTCCATAAACTAAACAATTTTTGAGCATACATGATAAATGGAAATGGCGCCAAGAAGAAGGATTTACACCGCCCTCGTCATATCGAGGGTGTGTGTACACTTTTAAAAAACAACGAACTCTCACGACAATGTTTTCTGTTCCTTAAGTAAACGGCGAGTCCACAAAGGTGTTGTGCGCGTGGGATTCTGGGTCGGTAACTGTAGTGGTTACGGGTCTGCTGACGCACACACAGGCTGGAACTCAATGTCCCGCACCTACGTGGAAGAAGTATCACCGCCACAAGCATAATGTCGTATACTACCATGGTTTCATTTCTCAATATCTAACAGCAGAATAAGAACAATAGAACAATCAGGAACCTCAGATTTAACAGTCGGGATAAATTACAGCAAAGTTGTGAAATCGGACATTTTAAGGTTGTGCCTTATTCAAAGCCATAAGCTCATCATCCGATAATAGTCGTCTTGTTTGACCAAAAGTATAACCCTTTCCTCTTTCCTAGAGAATGTAAATCGCTCCAGTAACAGTCATCCGGTGGAGACGTCATCATAGTAACGAAACTTATCAGGCTAAATCATCACCACTAGAATTTTCTCAGATGTGATTAGTTCATTAGTTGCTTTATTTTTCTCTAACTATTCTGTAGAGTTGTAATCGGACAGTTGGCCGTAATCGGATACATCCTCTTCAGAACTCACGAGTGAGACATTGTGAAGAGTGTTTGGAATTATTCACCTGTTAAAAGTTTAAGTGGTCTTTTAAAATCAAGGTTGATTCCAGAGTTGTCTTTGAAATCTACCTTCATTTCAAAATGTGCAAGAACTGTATTTTAAAATCAAGGTTGACTTGAAGTCAACTCTGAAATCAACCTTAAAATCAAAGTTGACTTCATGAGTTGCCTTTAAAATCAAGGTTGTCTCCAAAATGTGCCAGAAACCCCATTTTCTATTTACATAGACCAAGGTATCCAAACATTTTTTGCGTCACATGGCTGTCCACTGGTTGTAGACTGTTTAGTGCAATCTTTATGGCATGGCAAAGGCTGCTAGCACAATCCATGGCAGTCTTGGAAGGTAGACTAGGTAAGGAGAGGGTGGCCAGAGGGGATTTATTTTTCCATCTAAAACCTCAGGATATCTCGGTCACTTTCGTTGTAACAGTTTTATCAACAACCAATGTAACCATTGACGATAAATCCGGATACATCATTCATGTGTACGTTGATTTGCGATAAGATTATTCGCATCAGTCTCGAAACAGAGTTAAAGACTTAAAACAGACGGATGGAGATCAATTTTTCAAAAAGGGCTGCTTCACTGCACGATAGATTTAAATATAAATTTCTTCACGTTTAATCTTATTTATCTTTATTGCAAAAAGAGTTGATTGCTTCAGATCCGAGTCAGAGAACATTTGCATTCAAAAGGAGAGAAGCTACCAACATGAATTGTAGAAAGGCCCAAAGTAAACTTTTGTGGCAGATATGTCAGTTTTGATCAACATAAAGCGATTAACAACAATGTTATAAACGAACTGGTAGGAACAAGAACCTGGGCTTATGAAAATATTGTGAAAAACAAATCGTCTCGCAAGTAGTAGTGTTGGGTAGTGTTCATTGTATTGAAAGATTTTCACCGGTTTTGATATTCTCAATCATTCAGCTCTCAATTTACTCGATAAATGAACTTCAACACTACTCTGCTATTCCCGGAACAGTTATGGAAAAATAGTCGACGGTTTTTCGCTCTGGTAAGAGTGGGAAACATTCCTGACTAAGGTATGGCGGGTGCACCTCAACGATGAGAAACGTTAAAAGTATGGAATTCAGCCGCACGTTACTTTCAAGTAAGAGAATTTTCCTCCATAATGTTCGCACGGTTTGTTTATGTACAAGCTTGTCGCATATATGAAACAAACTTTTATCTGACGTTGATTTTCCGATGAAATCTCACACGTTTTGTAAGAGTTTAGACTGATTTTTTGACAGTCAATCTCTACATGTTCCTCACTGACGCAAGGCCAATTGCTCAAAGATGAGATCTGCGCACCGATAGACCAAAATATTTTCAAATACGTTTTGATGAACTCCGCAAAAATCGCTTCAGACTTAGTACTCTTCTTGTCGCATCGAGGACGACTTTATCAATTCTTTCCTACGTAGTTAAGGCCTCTTTACTTTAATTTATGCAGTTCTGTCTTCAAGCGTGTATACTTTAGTATCATCTGACAACAAAACTACGAAAATAATCGAAATATTTATCAAAGTTGATCACATAGCTATGCAATATAAAGAAATTTCTCTCTCTTGCTCTTTTCCTGATCCGGCTAAAAAAAACAAGGCCTCGTCAAAGTCCAAGTATTGCATTTATTTCTCTGGATTACTTGAAACATTCTTTTCAAATATGTTCGTTGAACTAAAGTGATTGATCAAATTTGTTTGTCAGACTACGTGCCATGTGTAATCAAGAAGAATTAAGAAGAAAGAATACTCTAAGTGTTTACTACAGTAGTGTATTTTATTTGTATAGTAAAAGACGACATATTCAAATTAGCTTCAGTTTGACAGTTTGTTAACAGGAATTATTTCGCTTTTGAAATTGATTTGCCTGAACCAAGTCTTTTATCAGTCTGCCAGCCACAGAATTTCTTGCTTTTCCTTTTGAAAAAAACTAGACTTAAAACATGTCTGATCTAATCATCTAACTTCGTTTTTCAGGTCGTACTATCAGAGGAACGACGTAGAGTGTACTTGTCAAATTTTAATGGCACGAACTGAATTAATGACTTTAATTTCTAAATCACTTTTTAGAGACATTTTACTGACACTCAGAAATTATTGGTGATAAGAAAGCGAGAGACAAGAGAAAACTGATTTACACTGCACCCAAGGAAATTAATCATTTTGGGTCTGAATAATTCTTTTTAGCTTCGTTTTGAACGGAAACATTTCTTGAACGAGGCTGAATGCTGTACAATTATTTATACGGTAGCGGTACATACTGGACACGAATGAAAGAATACTTACGCTCTTTAATTTTGCGGTTAAGACATATTTGAATCGAATTCTTTTGTGGTCACGGTCTCGTGAACTTCCCAGCTTACCCCATCTCGGAGGAGGCATATGTTCTTCAAAGGAAAAAATCATGTGTCTAAACCCCGCATATTGCATAGCGGAGTTTATTTAAAGTAAAGTCAAATTTTGAAATCTTCGAATGGCGAAAGAAAAATTCTCTTTGTTTTAAAAAATATATTTCGCCTCCTCACATCGAGTTCTTTGTCGCATTTTTAAGAAATTTTGAAGAGCTCTACCAAGGAAAAAATAGGTAGGATTTACGAAAGATCATAGAAATTGTTCATGAGAAGACATGTATTTCAATTTAAAATGGTCTGACTGAGGTTTACTTGATAGAGCTGAAGGCTGAGAAATGTGATTGCCTCAAGAAGAAAAGAAAAAATAAATAAACCATTAGGAAAAGGGTTTGAAATTGAAAAGTAAGTATTTCTATTTCAGTCCTATTAAGTATATCTTCATAAAACTACACTCCAGAGAGTTAGTTCAAAAAAGCTGGCTGATTTTCTCTTGGTTTTAGTTTGCTTTTTTTTGTCTTTCACTGGCCCTATAGAAGGATATGCCGTTTAGAAAATCAATATTTTTTTCACGCAGAATTCCTGAATGGATTTCATAGTAATATCAACCTAATTTCCTCGTCCTGCTGCAGGAGGATTGAGAAGTTTTCCACTTTCATTCGAGTTCATAGTGAGAGCAGTTTTTTTAGTTAAAAGATGAGTTTGCTTTAATCAACAGCTCGGTTTTATCAGGGATCTCCCAAAACAAGCTACGACCATACAATGTAATTTAACAAACAGCTGTGCTTAAGAGAATGAAAACTTTCCCGTATCGTTTGTGTTTTGTTTCTTGATCTTGTTCTGACAGGAATCGGCTCTAAACAAACAAGGAAAGAAATCGGCATGCAATGTGGGACGTAAAAGAGCTCTGAGCACAAATTAGGGGTTTAGAATGATCTGGTAAATAAGTTTTTTTTTTTTAATCCATCTTTTCCTGTCTTCAACAAAGTTAAACTTGATTCTCACTTTCTCATTTCGTTTAGCTTCCTCCAGTTTCCTGTCAGGCAGCAAAAGGGCTGAAATACTCCAAGGTAAATAAATTCACGAGCAATAACAAGTCTGTTCGTTCAATTTTCCACATAACTCTTTCACTGAACAGCGCAATGGGAATGTAGTTTTATACTCCATCAAATTCCATGTCGATGAAATTAACTAAACGTTGATCTTAATCCAATCAAGCTTTTTCTCTATAGGAATTTAATTAACCAACTTTTCTTCTCTAAGTTGATTCTCTGCACGAGCACACAATCCTCTATAACCTGTGATTAAGCTGCACAACCAAGATAGTAAAAACAACAACAACGAAAAAACAATTCTATTGCCGTCACTAAATCAATTTTACAAGAGGTCATAAAAACAGCGCTTTTGACTTGATAATGCTGCTTTTTATAAGGAATTACTTTTCAAGAATTACAATTTTTTTTAGCTCTATATGGCAGATTTAGGCTTATTGTTAGCGAAACTGTGAGCGTTGAAGGCCATTTGTTTGATATTGATATCATCTGAGCAGCTAATCTATTCAGCAGAACTTTTTGTGTTCACCTCTTTGGAACAATACAATTTCCTTATTTGAACATATTTTGGAAAGAAGAACAGGATGTATCAAGGGAAAAAAAGAGGAAAATATGTCGTTTATTTCAAAACCAGAACTCTCAATAAATAGAGATTATGTTTTATGGAGATTAAGATATGGATTTCACAATTATGCCCCTCCAATCATATAAGTCCGACTGAGTTCTTGTTTCACAGCGCAGATATACGATCGCTCAAAGAACATTAATCAAAACTGACTTTAAAGCCTAAAACATATCAAAGAAAGATGCAAAGATCAAATCAATCGTAACATAAAATATCAAGTTCATTCCCTTTCCAAGACGAACACTCTAGCAACTAACATTATATATTTTCTTTCAAATTTTCAACGTGGCAATACTGCTTGTCATGTATTTATTTATTGGTTCTTGAAAGCGTTTATGAGAATGTTAGCGCACTTAAGCACAACATATATGAAGCGATGTAATTGGTCAACTTGATAGTAATCAACCAATCACAATTCATGTCTTATTTTATACGTCCGTCAGTTTATCATGTCCAGAACGTGTTTTCACGAAACTTCGTCAGCAACATCAATAAAAGAAAGATGTTCCTTAACTTTTGTATTATTTTATCTCTGTAATAGCCGAAGAATAAGGTAAGAGGGCTCTCCATCAAGCTAAAAACAGCTGAGGAATAAACAACATGCAAGATTGTGTGAACATATCGCCCAAAACCAAAATATTTTGGCTGATTTTTCCGCTGATTGCTCTTTGCTATGCAGCAAAAAACAACAGCAGCGGCGGCAAGCCGAATGGTAACATGGTAAGTTTATTTTTTCCAAAACATCACAACATTGTATTCATCATCATTCTCCGTCACTGTTACTCCAAAAGGGGACAGAAAAGGAGATATTCCCGAAAAATTGGAACAGAACGATGATTTCATGACCGAATACTTCGACTCTTGGAAAGATGAATTAGTCACAATGATTGTTCACAAGAAAATAGTCATATTTCTGACAGCATATAAATAAAGTTGCGTGTTCTGTTTTTTTTTCTCCTGACACAGGGCACTCACCCATATCCGCCATATGGACTCTATGCCTATGGTGCTCCCTTTGGCGCACCAGGTATACCAGGTATTCCTGGGAGCCCAGGACCCGCGGGACCCACGGGCATCGCAGGACCACCCGGTCCTCGAGGTTCTACGGGACCACAAGGGGACAAAGGCAACGCGGGAAAGCCTGGAAACCAAGGCCTCCCAGGTCAACAGGGACATTCAGGAAAAATGGGACCTCAAGGGTACACGGGCCGACAGGGTCCACGAGGAACCAAAGGTGACGCAGGGGATAAAGGAAGCCAGGGAGCCCCAGGCCTCCAGGGACCTCCAGGAGCTTTGGGAACTAATTGGAAACAGTGTGTTTTCAAAAATTTGAATGAAGGAAAGGACACTGGGTTAATAAAGGTATTTTTTTTCCATTTAATTAATTGCAATTTTACAAAACCGTATTTGACAATGATGCTTTTTATAGACGATTCCTACAAAATTTTTACTGAAAGAAGATCGAGTTGTGCAGTAAGCCAAAAACAGAAACTGTGAAGTTAAACCTACATGTAACCAAAGATTCCCTTGACTGGACTTTAGGAAATTAATTTAGGACTTATTTCTCTCAGGGGTATTTTGAATCCATGTTGCTCATATGTACCATCATTTCTTTCTCCAGGAATGCCTTTTCATCAAAAAGTCGGCCAAAACAGCTCTGCGCGTTTTTTGGAATGGCAACCTCCGCCTCGGTAACTGCCATGCTTGCTGCAGACGATGGTATTTCACCTTAAACGGCGCAGAGTGCTCAGATCCTGCTGCAATTGATGGCATAGTCTATATGGTACATGGAAATAGCAACAAAAAGTATTTATACCGCCCCCGTCATATCGAGGGTGTGTGCGAGAAAGTCCACAAAGGTGTTGTGCGCGTGGGATTCTGGGTCGGAAACTGTAACGGTTACGGATCTGCTGACGCACGCACAGGCTGGAACTCAGTGTCCCGGATCCACGTGGAAGAAGTACCACCCCCACAGGCATAATGTCTAATACTACCATGGTTGCATAGTGGAAAGTTTGAAATAACGCGCATCATTGCTCTATGTCTAACATCAAAATACGAACGATAGCACGATTTAACAATCCGGATAAATAGCCTTAGATTTTAAAACAGTCTGGATAAATTGAATAAAATTGTGAATCAAGCATTTTAAGGTCGCACCTCTTGCATTTGAGCAACGTAAGGAGGGGATGTTGTCATGACAACGCGCAAATGAAAAGAAGGTTTTAACGAAATATCCAGGAATGAGTGCTGTGAGTTTTTTTTTAGTAGGCTTCGATCATTTTTTTTTTTGTAAAAGATTTTGAGATGTTTACATTTGTCTGGTTATTTCAAAGTTAAAAAAGACACCCGTGAGCCAGTCTTGCCACAAACTGCTCTCCTGACGGAATATTTTCCGAAATACTGAGATTCATGTAAAGAAGATATTGAAGTCCTTTGTATACCAAAAATGTTAGGCTTCAAATCAAAAGTGGACATGGCCGAATGTTTTAGGCAGAATGCATTGAACCGTTTTCACTCCGAGGTGGTACCGTACTCCTCACTCGTCCTATATTCAAAATAATCATGTTTATCGAATTATTCCCTTAAAGCAAAGAAAAAAAAACGAGCCTATAATCAAATTGGCAGTTCTGAAGAGTTCGTTGAATTTTGAATTCTGTTATTTCACTAATAACACAATCTTTTTTTTGCCTCTATTTTTCGTTTCATATTTATCAATCATTGCTTTAAACGTTCAGTCAGAAAGGGCGCATAACCTTCAGACGGGCTAGAAATATACTCATGTTACCCCGAGATGAGACATTTTATCACATCGATTTCCAAGAAATAAATGCCAGTTACGATTAAGTTTAGGCTCGAAAAGGTCTCTGCGGACATTTTCAGAAAATGAAAATGCGGACATGCGGATGGAATTTTTCTGACATCAAAATCAGACTTTTTATTAAGATTTCGAAGGATTTCCCATGAAGCCATGTATTCTAACATTAAAAATGATTTGATCGAGTTTTTCTACGCAGCGCCGTAAGCTGAGAAATCGCAATTTAGATCATGAAATTAAAAACCCTAAAAAAATTTTGAGATTGCGCCTCTCGCTTTTGAACTGCGCAGAGTAGGAATGGTGTTCAGTTGTATTTTTGGTTCAACCATTTTAAGGAGGCCAGTTGTAAGTTTGTCTATGGATAGTTATTTTAATAAGAAAGAGTTCGAGTCATTTTTGCTGAAGGTTCAATACGCGCAAAAACAAACAAATTCAACTACTGTCGAAAAACAAACAAATTCAACTACTGTCGAAAAACAAGTATTCCTTCTTAAGTTTTTTGGTGAAAAAACCAATCTGACCACATTCGAACCAGTATTAAGCGGTCAGTTTGGAAAGGGCCGAGTTTTTTCCCCATAATTATTGCAATTTTCACCTCTACTGTTAAAGCGCCTGAGTGAGTGAGTCCCAAGGGCCTGTCTCTATTGTCTTCCGCCTGTATTGAAAGGTCATTTGTATCATTAAACTTCCTGAGAGGTTAAAACTTTCACCAAGGGAAATGATTTCCTGATGTACCATCACTCTCCAACTTTCATCTTATGAAACTAGTTGAACAATTGTTCTAGAAAATATCATTACGTAATCAACGTATTGCATAACGTTTGAACTGTGAATCCATTAGTCCATTTCTCCTATCGAAACAGAGGATAAAACGAATTAAGTGTCGAACGAAATTAATGTTGCGAAATATTATAATCCTTTTTTTCAATCTGAGACACAGGTACAAATAAAATTTGGGGAAGTGCTTAGGCGATTCGAACAAATGAGGAGACACGGGACTCACTGTAACAGCGCCTGTTTTAAAATCTCTGAGATACGTGCGACTTTAGCACAATGTTTGGATTTGGATGTCAAACTGATAATGCAGGAGTGGTTATTGTTGAGTGGCTTGGGAAAGAAACACCTTGTGATGTCAGTTTCTGTCAGTCTTGTTTGTAGTTCAGATTTACCACACAATGTTAAACATAGAGAAAAGGTAAACGTGATTGTAGGAAGTCTTTGCTCAGCTGGCTTACAAAGTGTGAATCTCTGACCAGAAAAAGCATCAGTTATTGATTTGTAATGACTTTCCGTCAGTGAAGCTGGTGATATCAAATTTGTTTCAGTCATGACTTTCAAAGGTCGAGATCCATAATTTTTTAAACCAAGAAAGCGTGCCTGACTGATGCAAATACTAGTATAAAATTCAATCCTGTTTTTTTTTTTGTCGAATGTCAAATGCAAGACTTAGAGGTGACGTAACTCACAATCCAAAGTCCATGGATTAAATTTCGAATTAGATGCTTCTCTTACCCGCTAGCTCCCTCTGAGGAACCCGATAGAGTATCATAAGGGTGGAATCTTTGACGGCTCCTAAAGACGACAAATAACAAAGCCAAGAAGATTCTTCTATACCCTGGATAACTAATCCATGCTATCTGATGAGGTCAAATAACTTGAGTTAATTTAATTGAAAATCAAGGAGGCATTTGAAAGTGATTGAGCAGTTTTATCTAAAAAACCTTTCAGCAGTGTTTGACAAGCTGATCTTAATATGTTTAAACCATTTTGACTAAAAAATACACTCCTGAGAGAATGAACACACACAAATAGGAGAAAAGTAAACACCTCTAAGTGCTTGATATAGTATATAATAATCGACATAAGATTAGTTAGTTTAACTTTCCCTTTGGAAATTATAAAGACCTTTACGAAAACGAAAGACAGAAAAAACGTCTTTGAGAAGAGAAAGAAGGTAAGTGTAAATCAGTTTGGTAAATCTTCCATATATTTCCACAAAAATCTAATCGGTTTCGTTCCTTGGAGTAGTTAGAGCACAAACAGGTACTGTTAGATAACATGCTCTATCTAGATCTTGTAAAAGACATTCATTCCCGTTTTCGCACTTGGATTGGTAAGAAAAAAATTTGCTGTAGGACAAATAGAAGGGCTGAGTTTAATGAAAACATAATTTCTCTTTCCTTGTAATTTAGAGAAGTTATTTCTAGTGTATTTTATAGCGTATATTTTCACCAAATATATAATCAATAAAAAACCGAGGAGCAAATGTAATATAACAGTGAGCAGTCTACAAAGTTTTGTATTTTGAAGAAAATACCTCCTTTTTACTAATTTGTTCCCGCAAGTTTATCACTGAAAAAAGTTTTTTTACACGATGAAAGAAGTGATATACAAACAAGTATTAATGTGCTTCCTGAATCTTTTACAGACGAAATGGCGAATAAAGGAGCTCTGTTATCTCTGTTTGTCATGACATCACTGGTTTATTGTACGATGGTGAATGCTGGACTCAATCAAACATCGGAATGCACAATGGTAAGAAAGAATTGCATGAGTTTGCATAAAGTTGAGATTCTTAGACTGAGGTCTGCAATAAATGTCTTTGCAAGGAGTGGACATCCAAAGAAGAAAATTTGTTACTTAGTTAGCCATTAGGACAATTTTGTGAATCAAATGCACTTATCCTGTACTTCCAACGTAGGGGCCTTCACCTTGTTGTCGCGGACGTGACGGTCGTGACGGCCGTGATGGAAGAAAAGGAGAAAAAGGCGTGCGTGGGAAGACTGGACTCCAGGGACCTCCTGGTCCCAACGGAAAACCCGGCATACCTGGGGACGAGGGCCCTCCCGGTGTGAAGGGAGATCGTGGATACCCCGGGAGACCAGGTGCAGCCGCTGTCCTGAACTGGAAAGAGTGCGTATTCAACTTCCTAAATGATGGCAGAGACAACGGACTTATTAAGGTGAATTTATCATTCAAGTATGGTAGAGTTACGTTCCTTCAAGAAATATTAATATCATTGTATTAAAGAACAAAAACTACTCTAAATTTCCCATCTAAGTATTGCTACTACTATTGTTCTTGTTGTTCTTGTGGTTGATGTTTTCTCTTTTTCTCTTCTTTCGGGACGACTCACATTTTTAATCACTACAGTTTTCCCATTTTTAATTCTCCTCTTTCACAATTACAGATTTGAACATAATCAGTTTGCAATCATATGTACTTATTGACTGAGTTGGAGGACCGAAACTCAGTCAATAAACAGTATATCATATGACTTCTGACCAACCTCGAAAAATTCGAAAAGTGTTTTTTTTTAATTGAAAATTGGACGCGATTAAAAATTTTCCTTTATTTTTTTCACGTCAGAACAAGAAACTCACATTCATCGAAAAAACGTGACTAATTTTCCCGTTTTTGCTCACTGCTTTCAATCATGTTTTTGCAACAGCATCAAACAATGTTTTTCTTTTTTTGGCAACAAAGCCATATAATTACATTAGGTCCTCACTTCAACCCGTTCGGCTCCACAAACGTCAACTTTCAATAAGTTTTTCTGTGGGATTGCGCAAACGGGGCCGTACTGGTCGTGTGTTCATTTTTTTTTCTTTATTTCTCATGTTCACTGCAGTGATCTAGAAGATTTTATTTGTCATGGTTTTCATGCACTATGACAAAGACTCTGATAAATTTTGCCATATCACTTGCTTTTCAATTAAAACTGTTGACATAAAATAACAATTTCAGGAGTGTTTATTCACCAAGCATCGGGATGATACAGCTCTCCGTGTTTTCTGGAATGGAGCCCTTCGCGTGCATGGCTGCACTGGATGTTGCAAGCGTTGGTATTTCACTTTCAACGGTGCTGAATGTTCAGGTCCCTCGCCAATTGATGGTGTTGTGTACTTGGATGGAGTGTCAAAGAGCGCAGATCCCCATCGTGTCCGCCATATTGAGGGACACTGTACTAACGTCCATAAGGGCAAGGTGCGCGTGGGGTTCTGGGTCGGTAATTGCCCCGGTCATGGAGATGCAGACGCTTACAGTGGCTGGAATTCGGCTTCCCGCATCTACGTTGAGGAAGTGCCAAAACCTCAGGAGTAGATCCCAAAGCAGCTTGATTCTGATGGAACAGAAAGTAGCTGCTTGAATAAGGAAAGGACAATTCTCGAAATCTCTAAAGTAATTACAGTAACTGAATAAAATGCCAAAGAATCAATAAAGTTGAGAAATTATCCCTTTTATAACGCACAAGCTTTACCTTTGGAGCCCAAGCCAGATGATAACAAACATTTGCCGCGCATTTTTTCAATCGTTTTCAGCTTCTTTCTTCAAGTATTAAGTATTAAGACTTTTTGCTTTATAATTCCAAATAAATGGTTGCTTATGATCTCACAATGTTTGTTCACTTTGGTTGTCATGGTAGAATAACACGTTGTGTTTGTTAACTTTTTTGTTTGATTTTTACAGTGGTATGTTGCGCACTTTTTTCTGGTGTTTGCTTCATCAAAACTGTACGAAAATCAAACGTCATTGGTTAACGCCAGGCAGTGTATACGTAATGCTTGTAATTGGACAGTAAGTCCCATGTGTGCAAGCTGTTGTTTGCAAATTTCAACTTTCTGCACTCAGTTTCAACTTTCTGCACTGATTCTGCAACTTATTTAAGGCATTACTACTCGCTAATCCATTCTTCGAAAATTCTCCGAGGCAAGCTAATGCGTATTCCTTGACCAAAACGTCCCATGCCCATTCAGCGGAAGAGTTTGTTATTCCCGCTTTACATACCTTGGTTACTTAGTTCCTTACATAACTTGTTCCATCCACTCAAAACTGCGGGATTTCAGAGCTTCGTTAGGGACAACTCTCTCTTTTCTATTTGAGGTTTAATATATGTTGCACAGTTTAATTCACCCGAGCTAAAATGATTCCAGCGAGAATCAAATCCCCCGAGATCCGCTCGCTACAAATGCCACTGCAGTTTCCTTAATACCTCTACAATCGATAATAAAGTTCATCGCTTTGTTTAAACAGACATGACGCTATGTCTTCATGAAAGAAGTGAGACCACTTAAAAAATTATTGAAACCATTCTGCATATTTCATTTCTATTCTATAAGAGGGGTGGGACTTTCAAGATACTACCTCAAAAGTGGTATTGTCTTTTCCATTTTAATTTCCCTGAACTATGATGAGCAAATTGCAAGTTGACTGTGAACTGTTGAGAAGCCTATACGTGGACACAACTCGACAACAATGCTGCAGCTTAAGACAAGGCTTACACTAATCAAAGATTTATCTCTCATCAAAGTTACCGCGCTACTGAAAAACTCCTGCTAACGTAAATACTGGGCTGTCTGTCAGTAGATAAAGAGAGAAACGCGGGCAATATGGTAACTTGGAAACGTGAAACATCATTGAAATATAAAAACAGCGGAGCCGCAAAGACGAGAAACGGAACTTCGTCCCAAGCTTCTTTGGGCTTTCAGCTTAACACTTTAAAGCACGCACCATACCGCCAGCTGCGTGAGCGTCTTCTCGAAATTGATTTCATTAAAATTGTGATCAGATTCCTTCACAGGGAAGAGTACGAAAGAAGAGTCCTTTAAAATTTGCCAAACTCCAAACGAGTGACTTTACATCAGAGTTGGTTGCAGTGCTCAACTTGTTTTCGGGAAGTACAGTATTCTCGTCAATAATTCAAAACCACCGCTTTTATTTTCTTATTTTGTATATTTATGTGGCGAAGTTGAGATTATTACAATTTGTGTCAGGATGTTGCTGCACAAGGCGTAGACCGACGATTATTTCAAGACGCTGAAGCCTCTATGAGTACATACTAACGAATGCGTAGCTCATCTTTACAAATGCCGTAACCGTTAATACAAAATGCTTCGTTGCACACGGGTTTGATTCCCGTCGAAGCATGATTTTTTTTTTCAAGCTTCTTTTCTGCAATTGCTAAAATTACAGCTGAGCTGCGCGAATCAGTTCTTCACCTATTCTTCTTCGTGACTTCCGAGAAAATATACAGCGAAGACGACAATACCATTCACACTTGGAATAACTGGAATCTTCCAAGCATCCTATTTTTTTTCCAATATCGATGTCATGCAATGCGTGGGATTGGAAAATTCATATGGTATCTCAGTTAAATGTCGGGTTCTTTTGAAATCCATATTCCCTTGTTACAAATTTTTTTGTGATATATCTCCTTGTTGGCGAGAATCCCAGTCATTTGTCTCCTGCAAAGGCTGTATCAAATTCTCTAAAATTTTTATCATATGATAGGCTGAAATGTATACCGATTTTGTGTGGTTCTTACTTACGATGTATTATAGATGAATAGATGACGTCACTATTAAAAACGTTTTCCTTCTTTGTTATTCAATAATGGTCACTGATGACATCAAAATTTTTTTTTTTATCAGACGGATGGCAACATGGAACACACCTGGATTAGCAGCGGAACTTGCCGTCAAAACACCTCTTTTCTGGTGCCACTATCACTGAAGAGACTATTTCACATTCCTAGTGACCAAATATATTTTCATTTTGTTTCCAAAACAAAGCGATTTTGATTCACCTAAGCCAATTTTATCACTCGTGGGAGTTAAAAAATGAGTGGGAGATTTTGCTCTTCATGATATTAAAAAAAGTTTAATATTCTCTCACTGATTGTCTGATCTCTTCGTTTATCACAAGTTTTTCAAGAAAAGTCTGAACACAATGATTGTATAACCTACAACAAAGCAAACCCACCACCTTAAAATTTTCTTAATGTAAATTTTCTCAACGGAAATTTCTCAATACCCTCAAATTTGTCTGGCCTGGTATTTGAGGAGAGTTTCATCTTTTATGATGACTTGAAAATTCACCCATACCAGGCGATGTTTGATCATAGATTGCAGCTTAATTTGTGATGTTGAACCATGCAGCTGATCAATGGGGGAAAAAGCAACGATATTGAGTCAAGAGTGACGTATAAAAGCTTACAATAGACTAACACCAACACTAATCTCATTTTAGAATTTGCGGGTCCCGACGGAAGAGCCTTCTTGAAGATCTCTGGGTGCGGGCTGACTTGGCGTGAATCAAAAGTTCTGTAAGTAAACATTATTCGTAGCTATAGTTGATAGTCATATCCGTAGTTTACAAAAATAGATTAATTGCATTTGTTGCTTTGGCAGTTGTTTTTGTTTTCTTAATGCATTCTAGAATATGTTCTCTGTCTTACAATCTCGTTCAATAAAGTCTATAACATGCACACGTTGCTCAGTTCTGATCTTGCAGACTGATTCGACTATAATGTCGGAGATAAAAGCAAAATATTAGAAAAATATGATGACATCAATTAAATTTCATGATATTTATTCTTCCCTCAGTATTGAAATATGAAAGTTGGTACCTTTCTGGTGTTCGGCATCTTACTGGTTATGTCGTTCTATGAAGAAATTCAAGCTCTTTGTCACCCCAATGGATGCAGCATTCCGTTTAATCTTCCTTACTTCTACAAGAAACGTTTCACCCCGGCTTGCAACAAGCATGATGTCTGCTACGCTTGCGTAAGATATATCTCTTCTACTTTGCACACAAACGATATGCAAAATCCAGTGGTTCTTTTCTGAACGGTTTATTAGCATGAAAAGCTGACCAAAAACCTTTCAAATGTGTCGCGACTTCACAATTTCAGCCAATCAATAGGCAAAACCGTTTCACTTATTACAAGCCGCTATGATTCTTTTAGAGCTGAGTCACAATTACGCTTGACCTAGTAGTTTCAGTGGTCGTAAGAACAAATAAACCGGCTGTTTGTGTTTTTTTCCTTGTAGGGTGAAAGCAACAAATGGAGTCGATATCAGTGTGACCGCGCGTTTAAACGTGATATGGACGACTTGTGTCAAGGGCTCAATATCACTAAAAAACTCTGTAGAGCTTTTTCGGTTCACTACTACAATGCAGTTCTCCTCTTTGGAGGGAAACATTACAAAAAGACCTCTTTGTCCTGGTGTAAGAACTGCCCTAAGGAGAGAGGCGATCCCAACGCGAGGCTGGGACGTTGAAAAATAATAAAAACTGGAGGACGAGGATCTTCAAACCCGAAGTGGCATCATCGACATAATTAAAAACTGTAACGTGATTAAAATTGAATTAGAAGGGGTTAGGCTGAGGACGTTTAATGATGTTAATGATACTTGAAGTTATAATATCGAGCCTATATTAATTGAATCAGTAAATTCATTCATTTGGAAACAGATGTCGGTCTCTTTATCTACTCTTTTCAGATATGCTGCTCAAAATGAGTGTGTTCCCGTCTTTGAGGCTACTTACATGTGTTTACTTGAGTTTCCATGGCCCCTTGCGATATTTTTCAAGGTTGCGATTGGTCATTATATTGACTCGCGTTTGCTTTGGTTCAGACTCGTCACCATGCCAAGAGATACACTTTGGAAATAGGGAATACTTTTAAAGACGTTCCGAAATTATTGGAAACTTTTCTGTAGGAATAACTTGGACTGTCAGAAGAATGGAGCGGAACAGGGGTCGAATTTTCAAGGATCAAAACCTTTGTCGAACCCATTTAAAGCAGAAGTACCTGTGGTAGTGTTACGAAAACATGCACGATTATGAACAGGTCACCTGGACATCTCCAAAGCTGTTATAAAAAGCCGGAACTCAGAAAGTCTTATTTATTACCTTTGTATATCGGTAGGTTTACTATATAAGTGTGAACCGCCGCAAAAGGTGTGGTTTTTCAGCCGTTTTATTTTTCTGGAAACGAGTGTTGATTTTTATGGTAGAGGTCATACATCGTGTAGGGTTTCTAACTTTATCGATACATTCTTTATTTTAAAAAAATTCAAAATAATCTGTTATCGAACGAAAAATCCCTTCATGTTCCTTTGACATCAGCAGACTTTCCACCAAATACTGTAACTTATTGATTGACAGAACAAAAATCAAATAGTTTTTCTGACCTTTATCTCTTGCTGCTAAAATACTACGACTGGAAAGCTGAAGACAGAGTGGGGAATAGGTGAGGGCTTCGGGCAATAATTACCAAAAAATTGCTAGCAAAATAGATAGCGCGAAAAAAAATCCTGCGTAGTGAATAGGAATTGTTGTATTCTATTTATTTTGCTTTGATCTACACCCAAAATAAAAGAAAACGTCGCGGTCCACCCATAAGCACATAGCGTGGTTAGGTTGCAGTTAAATCTCAGAAGGAAAAGAAGGTCTTTTCAGCTTTCAGCGAAGCTTTCGTTGAACTCGACGTATCTTCGCAAGAATGAGCAAGACTGGGCATGAACTGGAGTTGGTCATACTTTTGGTCATCGAACTCAAACTTTGACGCATGCTCAGTATCAACAACATTCGTCATCGTCGAGTTGGCTGCCATATTGTTTAGATTTGGAGGAGTACTTTTTCGGGAAAATCACCGTGGATTTTTAGACTTCCCTCCCCTGTGTGGTCCATGATTAGTAATGGCGAAATCAAAGTCAGAACAAGTGCTGAGGCTTGAACCAACTTCAGAACTACGCTTTCGGGGTAATTCTGTAGTGTCATTTTAAATTGCATCGTTAGTCGTTTCAGACGTGAGTCAAGTACAGCTTATGTTTAACTATGCATTCACCTGGTCAATTTTACGTCTAGGAAATTTCACCGAAGTCGTCACAGCAAACCTTAAACTCACAAACCCCTCCGAAAAGAAGGTCTGTTTTAAAGTAAAAACTACGGCTCCAAAGCGATACTGTGTTCGCCCGAACAGTGGATTTGTCGAAGCTGGTGGGGTGGTGGAAGTGGCCGGTAAGTTTAACAATTTAACTTCCCACCTCATAAAATCGTAATACATATTTTATAACGATGTCCCTTTTTGTTCAGAAGATTTTGAAACTACTTAGTTCTTTATTTGAAAAAAATTACAATGGTCTCTTAAATTGTACATTGAAAATTTGTCCGAACGCATGTTCATAACCTTTCAAATTATGTTAAGGTTTCACTTGATGAAAAGAAAGATTGTTGTCTTCGTTATAATGACTCGATTTGTTACACGAGTTATTTTTTACTTGATGGTATTTTTATTAAACCTGTTGATGCGGTTTCAAATCTCGTGACTTGTTGCTTCAAACAATACTTGTTTTAGCGTGAAAGGCAATAAAGAACGGGTGATAAGCAGATCATTATTATGTCTAGTCTCCAGTCATCTCCAATGTTTAGATTCAATATTTGCAAATTCTATTATTTTAGAAGGAAATTCTGGTGTAAACTTGAGTATCCTTTCCTAGGAGAATTTTTTTTGCATCCCTATGTCAATGTTCGCTCGCACGATGAATAAACCTGATTACTTGCGGTAAAAGTTATCCTGTGGAAACTTGCACTCGTGTGCTTCCCCACGTGATTGTAAAATTTATTTGACAAGTAGGATTTCCTTTAAGAATACACTATTTGGCAGATTTAACATTTGAAAAGTATTTTTTCATTTGAGTTCAAAATCTAATCAGAAGTTTCAAGTTGTTCTGTCTTTTTGTTCTGAATTTTGCAACAAGCCGAACATTTAATTGAATTTTGTTAAAACATGTGGACTCTATGTAGGGATGGGACAGATGAATGAAAATTTTAATGTACACTAAGTCCTGACTCTGTTATCATCCCAAAATGTCTTATTATAACTGAATTATGCCTTGTGACTTTGATTTAATCTTCAAGTGCCTCTTCACATGATCATGGCCATTTACAATGCCATTTACATGGCTCAGTTACAGAGATATCAATTATCAAATTTGGTTGATATATAAAAAGAATTTCCTGCTAGTTACCTCATAATTTTGATCATTTTGCTTCATTCAAAGTGGTTATCTGTTGAAGAGGTTTAAATAGTTCTTTTTCCCAGTTAATTTGGCAGTAATGCAGAAGTGTGTAAAAATTAATCAACTTGTGATTTCTAATACAACTTGTAACAGATAGGGATATTTCCTGAGATATACTAATATACCTGCAGGATTGGTTACTTTTGAGTATACTTGACAACCATTCATCTCAGTATTGGTGGCTAGTGATGGATCTATATCAAGCTGCATAGTGGAGGAGTAAAAATATCTGCCACTCACCACCAACACTGAGATGAATAGTTGTTTAAGTATATACTAAAACAGTGATGTAATATTGCATAAAAGAGATGATTTTAACTTGTGTAATCCTGGAACAATTATAATATTTTTGGGCACAAATCCTGAGCAAGTTTCTTTGAGGTAAATAGCAAAGGATATTCAAAGGTTGAATAGCCAATCAGTAGCCTTCAATGCTATCTACTGTTTCAGTATATACTTATGATTGTTATCATGTCAAGGTTTTTACCAAGTAGAGGTTGTATAATTTATCAATTTTCAGTAAGGCCACTCTTTACATTTATGCCTGTAGCCTACAGTGTATGTGATATAATTTTTATGATGTTTGAATTGTGATCTTACAGTGATGCTACAGCCATTTGAGTATGACCCCAAGGAAAAAAGCAAGCACAAGTTCATGGTGCAGACAATGTTTGCTCCCGAAGGAGATGCAGATCATGAAACTTTGGTGGGTTGTTGCACATTACACATTTCTCAACTGCAAGTATATATATTGATGAGGTTGATTAGTTGGTCCCTTCTAAGCATGTTATTTTCTGATACATTATGGAAAATATACATCTTCCATCTTAGAACCAGGAACAGGGATCCTTTCAGCCCCTTTCTTAGAAAAATATCTGGTTTATAAAATTTCTAATGACAAGTATTGCATTTCTAGTGTTAAAATTATTTCACTCTACTCTGGTTATCAGCTCATATCCCGAGTCAACTGATATGGAAATGCATTGCACCAAATATTGCAAGGCTGAAAAAGCTCAAAATATCCAAACATTTAGGATGTAATGAAATTTAATAAAACATTTGTTCCATTTGTGTTTTTTGGATGTGAGATTTGTTATTGCTAACTCAGTGCCATATGCCTCATTTGATATATACCATCTCGTATCCAAAGCGCACTAAAGGAGCACCTGGAGGTAACTGTTTATCAATAAACAGCAATAATCAAAGTGTAATGAAGTGCCTTAAAGAAGTGTTTTCTCAACCAACAAAATATCATTCCACTGTCAATAATTAACCTATCCCTAACTAGCAGTTCCTCTTAGCTTACAGCATTCTCTCTATGTGTAGCATCAAATTAGAAGTTAGCTATTTCTCCTCAGTTGGTAAAAACGCTGAATCTTGTCCAGGGACATGGGAATGAACACAAAAATTCACTGTTCACAAACTTTTCAAGAAACCTTTTGGGTAATCTTTCTACCCAATGATGAAAAAGAAGTTTGTAAGGTCAACAACAGCTGCCTCCTGAATGCCAACTTGTACATAGAATGAATATTCTATTTCATACCTTAAACAAATGCTTATCAAGTTTTTTAACCTGTGCAATACGATTCTAACTGAATGGAGAGAGTCCAGTGAGTCCAAAATGGTATCCTCACATGAAATCCTGTGGCATTCAGATCAATTCTTTAATAAAACAACAATGAAGTACATGTTTATATCACACTTTTGTGTTAAATATTTTACTTTTTCTATTTTTGACAGTGGAAAGAGGCTGACCAGAGTCAATTTATGGATTCTAAACTGAAATGTGTCTTTGAGTATGTAGATGATGGGGAAGGCAATGCGGAGACTTCTGTAGGAGGAAATGTAAGTGCTGTTATGCAAGGTCTCTACCATGGGATGGTTTGAGAGATTCCTGCTTGATGGCCAGATGTCTAATGCTGTAAAAATTGGCAGAGGGTAAAAATTAGTGACAACATGGTCAACTTGGATTTAGTGAAAGTTCCTTCACATAGGGCTATTAGTAGCTTATCCATTGTTTCTATGGGAAAGTTGTTTTGAAGGAGCTCTCTGTCTTTTCTTTGAGTACTTTAAAAGATATGTTTACATGTACCTGTATCATGTTCAATAATAGAAGTTCTCCTGGTTTAAATGGGCTTGCCCATCACTCACATACAAAGAATCCACTTGCTTAATAACTTTTGGGATTCCTTTTTTTCCAGTTGTCAGTTTTTGTGGTCTTTTTTCAAGACATTGAGCTCGTCAAATCACCTGTCTTAAGACAATTCTTACAAAAATGTACTAATCTTGTCCATAAACTTTCTGTTTTTCACTTTTCTGATAACATGTGTAAGTCTTAGCTTTTAATGATTTTTTAATTCTTGTTACAGACAGGCAAAATGTAATCCTAAAAACATGTTTTGTTGTTGAGAGAGACAGCCTTCATATGCATTAAGCATCACTTGAAACTACTTAGGGTGAAAAATGTTCACAGTTTTAAATAGTAACTATTTTGCACAATGCACCACAGTTTACAGCTAAAAACAACTGGTGATTGTTAGCTTTTTCAGCTTATATCTATGCTTCTTGATTCTTACAGTGGATATTAGAAATTTGACATGTGAACTTCAGTCACAAACTGGGTGAACCCATTACCAACTGTTCAACTCATAGCCAGTCAGCAATTGTTGTATACATTTTTTTTACCTTGTGCTTACACTTTTTAATTTCTTCTACTATTGGATCTCTTGTGGCATGGCAGGGAAACGAGGTTGCAAACAAAGAGCTGCTCAAGGTTCACAAGACAGAGACTATGGCTGAGTTCGAGACCCCAGCCCCTAGTTCTACTAACATTCCAGGTAGCCCTTATAAGGAGCAAGGAGTGGAGGATACAACATCAACAAGATCATTGCAGGTACCATCCTTTAAGAGCATGGTGCAAGAAGATTTTGATTGCATGAATTAGTTTGCTACACCAACAGCATGATGATTCCATTTCAATTCACGCAATAAATTAAAGTTCTATGAACTGACGAAAGTAGATGTAACTGAAAAACTGGTAATCCTGTCCAATGGATGTGCATGGAGAAACCAATGGTCTTGGGATTTTTTTTTGTGTGTGTTTGGGGGATCCTACCATTTACAAGGTGTATTTTTAAAAAAAAAAATATATGACTGTTGACAGCAGGGTGGAATGGTAAGCAAGTTCTTAAAGTACTCTATTTCCTCACATAAGCGCCCATACTCTAATAAGTGCCCTCCCCCAAATAAGCCCCCACCCCCCCATCATAGTATGAAACAAGCACTCCTCTTAAATAAGTGCCCACCTTCCTCCTCCCTCCTCCCTCCTCCCTCACTTTCTTACATAATAGAGATACAGGGAAAACCTGTTTCCTTTGCCACTTTATTTATAATTTTTTGAGCTTCAACAGCAGCTGAATCAGTACAGGATAAAAATTTCTTAACAAGCCCCCCCCCCCTCCCCATAGATTAAGTGCCTTCCTCTTAATAAGCCCAGGCCCCTTCCCCCCCCCCCCCTTTTAGCTGAAATGTTACATGAGTGCCCAGGTGCTTATTCAAGGAAATATGATAAGAAAATGGCTGACCTTTTGTTGGAGTAGTGAAATAGTGGTCTGAACAACAGGGTTGTGTTGTTAACAGGTGGTCATGCGATGGATTGTACTATGATGTTGATGCCCTAATTGATCCATCTCAGTCAGTTTGTGTTGGTCACAGTAGTGAAAGTTTGAAATCAAGAATATTGCATGTAATACAGTTGGTTGAATACTCTGAGAGACAAGATGGTATTTGTTAAATTGGATCTTGAAATTCATCCAGGACTATAATTTGAGTTTTTACACCAAGCAATAGACTCCTAATTTCTTATTGTCTGCAAAGTCATGAAAAGGAGACCTAAGCAAAAAAGCAAAGAAGACATACCAATTTAAAGAGAGGGAAACGTTTCTATTTAAGCAATAGAAAGATTTTGTAGCTGTGTTCATGTTAAATGTCCAAAGAACACCTTGTTCAGTCCACCATCCTTGCTAGAGTAATCTTTATATTTATTTACACTTTTATGTTCTGTTTAATTTATTGAAGGAGTATTTGTTTCGAAAATGTCTTTGAAATAAACTTTAGTATCAACGCTTATTGAGGAAAAAATGATTCTTCAATTTTATCACTGAAACATTCCATCAATGCTGTTTCATTCTCGATTTTTGTCTGATTATGATTTTGTGAATTTTTTGGTAGGGTGTGGATGAAGGAAGAGGCTACAGCGATGAGTTAGAAAAGCTGAGAAAAGAAAACAGTGATCTTAGGGTATATATTGTACAATGAGATCTTAACCCTATAGTTTATGCCACTAAAATTTACCAGTGTCAAACTGCTCTTTCGTGCAAAGTTTTCCCTGATAAGCTCATTTCTCGTCTCGGTTTGATTAGGACGTAATGAAAAAAAAATTGCCAACAGTACTTGCCAAAGGAAACCTGGCGAAGAATAAATTTCCCGTTACCTTTTAAATTTTGTTTTAGAGGCCTCCCTGCCGAGTCCTCAAGGCTAGAAAATCCTCCCCCTTTGGACATGGAGATTTGCTCAGTATGGCAACTTAAGTTATTTATTCAACTAAGATTTCTTTCATGTATAAAAGACTTGTGTCCTTTTTTTTCCCATTGCTGGTACGTGTAGTAACAGTGATGTTTTGTCTTAACAGGCTGAAATGGATCAAGTTCGGTACAGGAAGAATGTGGCTTCCCAGTCTTCCGCAACAACACAGGGTTCATCGCCCAAGGTATCTACACTCCTTGCACCAGACGACAGCGTCAATTTACCGCCATCGGTTATTGCCTACATCGTCTTAGCCTTGATATTCGGTGTCGTCATTGGCAAATTTATCCTGTAAGAGACAGTGGATCTCGAAAATATTTTAACGCGTTATGGAGCAAAATCAACAGACGAAAAAGTTACCATAATGAAACAGATTTCAAGTGTTTAAATATGCAGTTGACACTGTAACGCACAGAGAAATTTTACTTTTAAAAGTTCTAGTGGTAAATTAAGTCGTTGAACGAAACATCTGATCAATAATTACTTTTTCGCTTTCCCCAAATCTCACAATTTGATCTCCCGTCTCTCTTGTACTATTTGAAGGCATTTACTAGCTACAGAAAACAGTGAGTAAAGAATATAGAATTGAAGAATGTCTCGTCGCGGCTTTACCTTATTTTAAAAGAAATATTCAGTGTCCCTGAGTACGTACATGGCAAAACACTGATCGATCATTACAGGGGAGGGTATCTTTTGACGCTTGATTAAGTGGATTGTGTCATGCCAGTTAAATTAACTTTGTTTAAGGTTTTGCTAATAATTCGCCATAAAATTGAACGTTGGCAGGAAATTAACATATTTATAACGTATGAACATTCTTAAATAGCGTCACTTTCGCTGGTTTAAGAACAGGCTGAATAGTTTTAAAATGCCTCCGTGGTGAGAAATCTTTTTTTTTAATCTTGGTCATTTGCTTGCATCCTTTTTTTCTTTCGTAATTGCTTTGTGTGTTGATCGTTTTCACAATGTTAAGGAGGTTATTTTTCAAGCTTTTATTTCCTTAGCTAAATTTTGTGACAGAAGTTTATGTTCAGCAAACCCCCTAAGACCTTTCGTTTTCTCCATAGAGACAACCCATTCCGCGTTTTCAATGCTTGCAATGAAATTCAGAGTAACGCCCATTACTAAAACATCTTCGGACGCTGCAATCTTTTTTACACGCTACTCGCAACCTACTCCGTGATAGATATTTGGAAAAGTGGGCAGCCTATCTGTGCACGGTTGTAAGCAAAATGAATCAAAAACAGGAGACTCTCTTGTTGTTAAGTTCCGCGGAACGACTAGTGGTCTAGTCTATTGCATGATTGTCTATTTGGGCGGCGCCGTAATAAACTACCATGGGATGGAGATCCAGAGCTCGTAATGTTTTCGATAGAAAGCGCGGTGCACACCAGGTTGGCAGGGGGTAACACCGTCTAACAGCTCTCATGGCAACGAGAGGGACTTGCATATTTTAGATCATCCGTTGGGGCTTACGAGAGGTTTAACTTAACGATTCTTCCTCACTGATTGATGAAAGTTCGATTAGAGTTTCTGATGCGTACAGGGAGTTCGTCTCCTTCAGATACCTTTAAAAGTAAAGTTTAATTGATAGTGGGGCTTTTGAGAGCACATTTCGATTCGGTTTCTCATGATTAAGTCAGATCTAGAGTTCTTTTCGCTCCATTAGTCAGTGAAAAGAGACCGGACAAGCATTGTGAGCCGTCAATCGTGGGAGGTGAATGTGACACGCGTGACGTGCTCTCCTTGGTTACCTTAATCAGGAAGTGGGACACCCTCATTAATCGGCGAAATGACATTAAGAAAACGAACTAAGATTCTTCCTTTTAAGGATATTTGTTGCTTTAAACCAACCCAACCACTTTTCCATGTCCTTTCACCTTAAAAATAATTTCTCATATTCCAAGGAATTGTCATAAGGTTTTCCTTCTCTTTAAAGAAATTTTTCCGACACAAGACAACGTGACATTCTCCTTAAAAGAGCATATTTGTCATTATTAATTTTTCTGTAACAAAAAAACGATTTAAGAAATGTGAACGTTGCCGACTCGATTTTTCTTACAAGGTTAGTTACCAAGGAGATAGCTATCTCTAAGTGTTCAACAGCTGTTGTTTGCCGTGTACCAATGAGAGCGCGATGTCTTAACTGGAACAATTGCATTGAAAACAGGTTTTTTGGATATTGAATATTGATTGTTAACGAGACGTTAAAACTGCCAACGGTACATCAACGTGATTAACCTAAAAACCGCAAAATTCTCACTGGTAAGTCCATGATTTCGTAAATAAATTGCGACAGTTTTATATTCCTGACTTACAATCGCTCTAGAATGGGGTAGACGTTTTTTTTTTTAATGATGTTTTGTTATTAGTGTCAAACTTATTTGCCATTACAGAGAGGCTTTTACTTCTGTTCTCCCTTTCATGCCAAAAGCGACTTTTGTACCCTGCTCTTTATTTGTAATTCAGCTCCAATATTCTAGATAAAAGCCTTTGAATATATCCTCTTAACGTGTCATAATAAAAGACAATGATAAGTCTGACCCGAACGGGTATTGCGGCTCAACGCTTCATTTCACATGCATGTGACGTGGACCAGCCGTGATAACAAAGCCTTGAAATAACTTCTTAAAATACACAATTCTGTCACTGCTGCCGCTCACAGGATTTGATAAGTTTAATTCCAAATTGATGAGGGAATAATTCTTTCCCGTTCAAAATGGAAGGCTTTACAAGAAAGCGATCTAATAGTGTTCCAATTTTGTCACAGATAGAGAAAGTATTGGATCAAAAAGAAGATCTTGGATTGAGTGAAAGACGATCGAGTGAAATATTTTCAAGATTTTGTGAAACTCGATCGCCTGAAGACACAGCTCGGCCGAAGGTTAGACTCTCAAGTGGTGGCTTAATACGAAATCAGAAGAGAAGGCGATCAAGAACTATGGGAAATACACAAACCGGCTCGACACAGCCGTGTGAACAAGAACAAGATGCGATCCTCGAAAAGGCAACGCCAAGGGCTTTTTCAACCAGTGAGGTAGACATTACAAACGATGCCTTAGAATCTTCACCAACAGGAACGACAATATCTCACTCACTTCTTAAAGTGGACGAATATCCGCAACGTCATGATGTTCACGCTGAACAAGAACGTTGTGAATCCTTTTCGATGATGACGAAAAGAGAAGATGCCTTCATTGAACAGGCATCTGGTATAATTTACAGTAAAGATACACCGGATGATTATACAGTAACAGATCAGGCGCAAGGGACAGCCAATATAGATTCCTGTAATAAAGAGGATTCTTTACATTCGGGATCATCCACTGAGATCTCATTACCATATGAGATTGGCGACCTTGAAGAAGAACAAACACCAGACTTGACAAATTCATCCAGTATTGATTCTTCACATTCGGACAAGTTTGGCAGTTTGATTAGCGACTTTGACAGGCTAACTATGATTGAGTTGCATCGCACTGAACAGGGCAAGGAGAATGAATTATTTTCAAACTTTGGAAGAAGAAGGAATTCGTTGCCCTCCTTTTTACAACAAAGAAAACCGGCTTTCATTGAAAAAAGTGATAATTTTGTTAAAGAAGTTATAACCGACTTACACTCAGCTGCTCCAAAAGGCTTGAAAGCTAAAACGCGAAGAAGTCAATCATCGCCTATGACAAGTTCACGGTTTGTTGGTAAAGCCAAAATTTCTTCAAATGATGAATATTCTAAGCACCAAGATGTCAAACATGGTCTCCGCCAAGCAGTCGGTGAAATCGAGAACACGAATGAACAGTCACGACAAGGAAAATTATCACGCAAAAATCGCTCACAATCTCTACCAACTAACACGTCATTTAACTTAATCAAACGTGTTCAACAAAGGAGTTTACAAAGTCACGAAAGGGTACCCCAACTCAAAGAAAAAACTAGAAGAGTGAAATCTTTGCCTTTTATCTACGAAGGTTTGACAGAGTCTGAACTTCCAAGTTGTACTCAAACCACACACACTGGATTAAAATATAGCGATTCTATCGAAAATAGCAAAGTTGTGACCGAACGGAAACAACTGCTCAACGAAGGATCCAGAAAGATCAAACAAAAGGCATTGTTAGAAAGAGCGAGTTCGTTTCCTATCTGTGGAACAGATGGGCAACAGAAACAAACAGACAGTATTCAAAAACAAATAAAGAAAGCTTTAGATATGTTTTTCTCGCAGAAAGCTGGTGATGGATTCCATGTGGGTCGGGGGAAAAGGTCGAAATCACTCCCGAATGTCTTTGAAGGGAAAAAAAATCTTAGCTTTGAGAAACCTCCAGTAATGAACATTCCAGAAGCTGCCACTGCAGAAGGAAGGCAGGTTTTTGATGCAGTTAGCGGTGTGGGAGATGAAAGTATACAGAGCTGTTCAGATGAAGAAACAATAACAAACGAAGAGACAAAAAGTGACGTAAGTTCAGAGGGTGATGAACTCGAGTTGCGAATTTCAACCTCGGTATACTGTCATGATTTGCCACCTGTTCCAAGACCTCGAGGATTCTCTATACCCTGTTCTTTCAAAATGGAAAAAATTCCTGAGGAACCAAATGAGTCTGAAAACTGCGATGAAGTTGCAAGCTGTGACGGAGAAGATACTGAAGATGTGACAAATTATCTTTGTGAAAATCATTCTAACCAAACAATAGATTCCACGCCACTTAACGATAACTCAGGCGTATCGGAGCAAGCTGAAGATCATCTCACTGAGTCGGATGTCAATGAAAGCAGCTCTTTTGAAAGCAAAACAGAAGAAAACCGACAACATATCATTTTTGAACATAACTTAGAACTCTTCGACAAACTAGTTACTGAGACTTTCTCTCGAATGCAGCAATTGGAATTTGCCAGCTCCTCTTCTTGCCTTCATCGAGCAGCTGCAAAGGGAGATTTAGACAGCATTAAACTATTGGTGGAGGAGGGAGATGACGTCAATGCTTTGGACGAATTTGGTTGGCCAGTTTTACACGCTGCTGTTACAACTGGAAACTTCGACTGCTGTGAATGGCTGATTGATGCAGGCGCCGACCTAGAGGCCTACACAAACTTTGTTATTGAAGAATACCGAATGCTTTCTCGGCAAGTTTATCACAATAACTAGTTGTTGTATTAGACGAGGGAGATGTATGTATTTGAATTGCAAATGCCGCATAACTGATCAGTCTGCTGGAATCAAATTTATATTCTTTTTATGATATTCCAATGAAGGTCAATCGTTTACTGAGGATTGTTGCTTGCAATTGAGGCTCGCCAAATGGCTCTAAAGAGATCTGAATAAATTGTGTACAATAGGTTTAACGAGAAAATAAATCAAAGCTACATAAAACATATATCGTTTTGACTTGCGTGGAGATATAAGTCCTATCTCGACTCTATCTAGAGATATCTTAAGTTTTCTAGTAAAGGTGAATTCCAGATAGGTGCGGCCTTTATGACTTAGTTGGTCCATAGTGACGATGTGTAAAGTGGATGTCTACCTTTCGTACCAGTTATATAGTCAGTGCCCTTTCCAACTTGCTTTTCAAAAAGAGGTAACTCCTGACCTCTTTTGACTCATGGCGGTAACAGTTTTACTGTGAAGTTTACTTAAAATGCCTCTCAGATATCACTTAAGTTCATACACAAACTTTAAAAATTGCGTTACTTGCGACTAACTGCATTCTGTCAGAATGATAGACTTTTCGTCATAGGAGTCTGACGGAGCCTCAGCTACAGTTTCATTCCGTTTACCATCATACCTCCTTTCTGGTAGGTAAAGGTAAAATGATAGGCAAGAGACCTCGCCTACACGTTTGTCAGGACCGGTGAAAAGAAGAAAATTCTGATTTGAGCGAGCTGGTTGGTCTCTAGAGTCGAGGCAATCTCAATGGACATTTTCGCTGGTAGATAGCTTCCCGTGCTTTTTTCCTCCCTTCCCTCACTTATTCGACCTGTTCCCCTTCGAGGAGTCTAGATCCAGGCTGAGATAATTACCGTTCTATCGTCATTTTCGTCAACAGACTTCACCCTACTTTCCTTCCCGAATGAGTTCCAATTGCTTAATGCGTAGCTGTATTTACGACGGCTGCGTTGTGATTTCAGATCGGTAGTTGATTTGTAACAGTATTGAGCTGGTGGAAAAAACGGGGAACATGTACCACTTAGTAGAGCAGTGGTGCCACCTTTGGGAACTGTAGGAACCCGAGGTAAAAACAATCGTTTACAGTGATAAATAAATGTAACCATTCACAAAACGTAAATCTTAGAAGAGCTTTAACCTAGCGTCGACATGATGATGTATGACAAAAAAACTCAGCCTTAATTCATGAAGGGAGACTGTGGAATGTCCTATATCCGTAACGGCTTCAAACTACTTAAGATACGATTGCTTACTCTGATACATACCAGCCCACTGGTAAATTTTACCAAACTAGGGTCATTATGATGAATAAAATGTTGTATGAAAAATAATCGTCATCTTCAGAACCTTCCACATTTATATATATGGGAACACAGCGAAAAAAAAACATTCATTAGTCCATAAAGAGAAATCGATGAAAAACGTCTGCAGACTGATCGGTTTCCGGAATCAATCAACTATCGATTGGTGGTGAGGCTTTCTCAAAGTTGAGTCAAGTTGCGTTTAGTTGCGCAATTAAATATTGGTCAGCGGCTACTAATCGAAAACACGAGGAACCAAGATGGCGGATCAGATGGCTAATGAGGACAGTGGTAAAGTACAGCACATTGTGGCGGACTCGGCCGCTTTTTTGAAAAATGCGCCGCTTCATGAAATGTGTGAAAATGTTTATACAGTTGAGGATGTTGTGAATGAGATCAGAGACGCAGCAACTAGACAGCGTTTGGCTGTGTTGCCATACAAAATCAACTTTAGAGAGCCTTCAACAGAAGCACTACATGCGGGTGAGTTACGAGCGGTGAAATCTATATTATGCGGATCCCATATCAAATGGACCCCTTGCTTTTTGGACATCGAACAAAGTTGTTACTTGTTTCTCTTATTTACTCTAAAACAAAGGTGTTTTTGACGGACTTCTCTACAAGGAAGACCATAACACTAGAATCAAGCCCCGTCTATGAAAACCCAAATATTAAAGTTCTAATATCGTGTCCAGAAGACGCAAAGAAAGAAAGAGGCACAGAACAATTGAAATAGTGTGCAGTGAGATAAAATTATAATAAGACTGTATCAGACCAAATGTTAAGGACTATTGAGTTGACTTAACATCAGTGATGGTACATGTACATAAAATATTTAAGTTTTCCTGGAGGTATTATCAGCAGGCCATACCGATCTTAATGAAGATATTAGAAAATGTCTAACATGGTAAATGCATTGTGGGGTTAAGGGTGCTTGGGTTTTAGAAATGAGAGGAGATAGCAACTCAGTGGCAAAAACCTCAGAATTCCGCTCATATATGGGGATCAATTCACAGTTGTTGTCATTTCTTTTGTAAACTTTTCCTCATTCTTGCTGTCATTGAAACTGTGTTAATTTTCTTAGTGACTGAATTTGCAAAGCAGACAGGAGATTTTCGAAGTCTTTCTGTCATTGACCTAAAGGTCCTGGCTCTCACTTATCAACTAGAAAAGGAACATTGTGGCATTGATCACATTAAGACCAAACCCACCAAACAGGTTAGAACTTATAAGATTCAGTGTACTAAAGTCCTACTTAAATATAGTCAGTCCATTTGGTAATCAAAGGCAGAATACTTAGAATGAGTGCTTTTGTACAGTTTCTCTGATTTGCATGATCATGTTGACTGTGTGTGTGTGAGGTGGATTACCAAAGGAGTAGTTCCCCACCCCTCCACCCTCTTCTATTACCTCCCTTATGGAATCTAAGTAAGTAAAACCCATTCATCTACATTTCCATAGGAAAAGTATCTGTTGTACTCTATATGATGCAGTCTTCACCCAAGTTACCAACCAAGATGACCACACTGCAAATCTTCAAACTACCACTTGCCCTTCAAGAAAGGGTCTCTTTGAAATCAGAAATACTTCAAAATGTGTCTCATTTCCTTAGAGAAGTGCCCCTTTCACCTCCCCTGACCATTACAGATGAGTGGTCATGATCACTAAACCAAAGATGCACATATTTTATCTGGAAAAATTGCTTAGAGACCAAACTGCATCACTTTTATGTACTGTAGCACTGATGTTAGAAAAATTAACCAAGTGCCCCCTTCCCCTCCCTCTAATAAGTGTCTCTGACAACGCACCTTGCATAGTGTGCCATAAAATGTTTCTTGAAAATGTTATTGATATCAACACATTACCAAATCCAGGTAGAAATAACTCAAGGATTTGCAGGAAAGACAGTCCCTGGCTTCTTTGTGGAAAAAGTGAGTGTACCATCATATATTAAACTATTGTATATTTTCATTTCTAACACTAAGGCTTCATTCTCTTTTCCTGATATGTTGCTGTGATCTTTTAATCACTATTAGAACTTTCTATCACCCAAGTTTTCAAATATTATGTGATGCAATTCCTTTATGATCACCTGGCTCAGAATAATTGCATTTTATTATTCCACTGTTACACCATTTTATCATATTAGGGCAGTGGAACACACAAAATGTGCCATTACACTGAAGTATGATGCATTGCTGTAGAATGGAAAAAAATATGGTTGGAAAGTGGAGCAAGAAAATAGCTGCACTAAATGACCCAACTTTTAAGTGCATCAAATTTTTTTTTTTGGTCTCACACTATGTTAAAAGCATTTTAATGATTTCACTTGTGTTCTTTTTAATTTTTACACAGGCCACGATGGATCAATACTGTGGTCAGATAGACTGTACTTTGAAAACTAGATGTCTAAATACTCAAAAATGAAATCAGAATGGAATTATAAATACCTTATTCAATGGTTCACACACTATATGAGCAGCCATTTTACCCATTGCTTGTATTTTTCCTGGCCCATACAGGGCTTGGAAAAGTACTACATGACTTGCAAAACATCAGTGCATATTATATTGTATGAAACCATTGAAGAAGATGTATGTATTGTCTCTCTTTCCTCTTAGAAGCTAAAAGAGGAAAGTGAAGAAACTGAGCTAAGAGATGAAAGAACAGTGTGCCGCACAGTTGACAGTGATAAAACTACAGGAACAGATGGACAACAGAACAATACACCAAATACAAGTGATGGATGTGAGACAAACGCAATTGATACATCAAGAACTGAAATAAGCACAGCTGCTGAAATTGATAAAAACAATGACTCTACTGCTCAGGAAATTACAACTGGTATGGAGGCACTGACAGCAAATGATCCAACATTAAATGATTCTAAAGATGATGATGAGGGATTTGAGGAAAATGATAACAATGTTGATGGTGAGGATGATTTAGACAGTGATATTGAGGAGGATTGTGAGCATGAAAATGGTGATGATGTTGGTGATGATGATGATGATGATGATGATGGTTGGATTACACCTGATAACATAAAGCAAATTAAGAATCAGATGGGGAAAGGAAGTCAGAATGCTTTGCCAGCTAATGTGACTGTAGGCTGCCTTACAACTGATTTTGCAATGCAGGTAATAGAGATTGTCCGTAATTCTGTTGTGACTGAGGAATTCTTACAGTTAAGCATTTCCACAATTGCCACCTCAAGCCTAATCACATGTTATTTAAGGGTGGCATGGATGTCATATTATATCTCTCTGTATTTTATATTGATTTGTTGTTGTAGGTTATGGCCGATAACTTTTTGATAGCTAGACATTTTAAATGAATTTGGAAGTGATCTTCAGAGTAATAAACACTACTTAAGCAATAGAGAAACTAAGGTCTGAAAAAAAAGATTTAGACCTGTATGGGATTTGAACCCATGACCTCAGGGATAGTGGTGCAGCGCTCTATCAAATGAGCTAACAAGCCAACTGGGAGCTGGTCATGATGTTGGTTTGTAGTAAATCAGTGAAGTGATGAGTAAATGACTGTAAATATATGAAAATCATATATGTGAACTGCAGTTCACAAGTATGATTTTCATGTATTTACAGTCATTTAGACATTTTTAAGTTAAAAGAAATGGGTATTAAAATTTTTAAATGCAAAACATACATAACAAAATCACCTTACTTCATCACCTTTTTTTGTCAATACCTTAGTGACAGAGAAATTACGAATTGATGTTCAGAAAAAATGTTGGCAAAGCTAAACAGAGAGACAAAAAAATTGTGTTAGCCTTTTAACTCCCAAGATCTGATTGTTAATTCTCCCCTCTAGCTGCTACACATTTCCTTGTAAATTAGTTTCAAGAGTTTGGTGTTAGATCAAGATAACAAATTCTAACCGGTTCTCATCCCCTGGTGGCCAGATAATGTATGGATATTATAGGGAGAAATTAAGTGTTCATCACTAAGAGTTACAAGCACAGTTTTAAAGGGAGTTTGGCTGCAACTTTTGTCATTTTCTTTCAGAATGTATTGATTCAAATGGGTCTTCATGTGATATCACTTGATGGTATGCTGATCAGGGAAGCGCGCAGTTATGTGTTGAAATGCTATGCTTGTTTCAGGTGAGTTCATTTTTAACTGCGGATTAGTTGAAAACTTGAAGATTTTACTAATTAAGTGTTATGAATTTGTGCTAATGGAGAAATGCAGAAAGAAGGAAGAAACAAATTGATTAAAATGAAACACAAATTGGAAACGTATGAACTCCATAACTCCCTTGCAGTTATTTACAGATGAGGAAAGAAGACAAAAATTAATTATCAGCTGGAGGGGGTTATCTTGATTAAACATCAAATTCTCTCAATTGATCTACAAGGAATTGTGTTGAAGGTAGAGGGGAGACTTCTTTTAGGGAGACACATGGAGTTATAAGTTTTGGTGTTGAATTTTTTACAAATCCAGTTGCAGAGATCTTTGTATACAGTTTTAAAGACAGTGATAACAGATTGCTTTATTTTCTGACATCACTGAATTATTTGATTATCAGATGTTTGAAATCCAATAAAAACTAGATTTACATTCCAAAGTAGATATTGTCTAACTGCAGCTCCTGGTGTGCACTCTGTACATCCTCTACATTGGAAGGTGGGATCAGGACTTGTAACAGCATATTTGTCAATGTCCAGAGGCACTTACAAACGTGGGATTTGCTTGTTGTTGTGTTAATTTAGAGTGACATGTCAGCTGGAGAAAAAGTTCTGCCCATCATGTGGTAATAGCACTTTGGTGAAGGTGTCTGTTAGTGTTGATGAGGATGGTATAACCCATTACCATCTGCCTAACAGAAAGAAACCGTTTAACATCAGAGGAAAAAAGGTAGTTTCTGATAAGCATAACTTTTAACTGTCACAGACTTTGTCAAGTATGTAGGTGGCTTATAATATATGTTGTAGACTTCCATTTCGTAATGTTGTATACATCAGTTAAACTACATTTGCTTATATTTTCGTGAAGATCATTTTGCACACATCAACATCCCGGCTTAAAGCTCCATCGTATGTAAGTTTTTTTGTCCCAGTCCCCCTCATTAATCTCCCCCTCCCCGAGCAGGCGAGCTCCCCTTTAATGTTAGTATAATTTAGGTAAGAATCAAATCATGTACATGTATCGGTGAACAAGCTGTTCCATGTTTCCATTTCCATTTCACTCGCCGTATACTGTAGCATTAACACTCAACGGGTTTTGATATTACTGTCTTGACACACTTGAATGTCCATCTGTGCATCAGTTACCCTGTAACTGTCTTCTGTCTACCACTAGTTAGAGAAGTGATGGTGTTTCTTAAAGGATATAACATTTTGAAATTCTTCTTCGGGTCTTGAAGATAAATTTTGCTTGTCCAAGCGGCCATGTATCATTCTGTTTATTTTATAAACACCAATGAAAAACATAATCATTTTACTATTTCAGCGAAAGGCGCGATTTATTATGCAACTAACGGTGTTATTTTCACTTGTGAAGATAAGATGTTATTTTCACGTATGAACATATCACGTGTTCGGGCGAAAGTTCACCTGGTATTTCACTGGTGTTTATGTGATTAATATCTTTCTTGCTATTGTTTTGCTGCATGTACATGACATGGCATTCATCAGCTTCCTGCCCAAACTCGAACGGTGGATCTTTGTTCCTGTGAAACATAAAAACTCTCGCAAAACGTCATCTTTTATGCAACTAAAGAGATTGATTTCTGTGTTTCTAAAATTTACTTGACTTGTTCCCTTTTTCTCATAATTTTTTTTCAGTTCCCCCTCCCTCGGCCCCAAGGCGGTCGCCACAGTAACAACCCAGTCCTCACTGAGGACCAACCCCGTGGTCAGCATCGTCTCCCGCGGAAGAAAGATAACATGAATGTGTTTGATCCTAATTACATCGCGCGCAGCTCACCATTCGCCGCGAAAGATGTAACAAGCCGCGCCTCGCAACTCGGTTATCACTTGAAAGGTGCTCAAGATTATCAGAATAGACGGAATCCAAACGAGGTCAGGAAAAAATCTGGACGGAGAAAGAAGTAGAGTGCTTGTAATCTATTTTCTCTCCTTCATGTTTAAAATTTGAGCATGTGTTCCGTTGTGCGTCTCTAACCGCATATCATGTACCCAAAGGAACCCTCCCAAGTTGCACTCACACATACAACAGGTATTAGAATAGATTTTTTAGCAAACCTCGTGAAATATGTGTACATGCTTGAAATGGAAATGCTGAATAAAATTACATCCTCGTAGTCGAAGATATCTGTCTACTTTTGTTGATCTGCAAAAACATCCAAGGCTTATGCACGCTTCACGATCCTGTGACAGTTTTATTATTAGAAGGGTTTATTAAAAGTATTCAAAAATAGCACCCCAGTGGTGAAATACATGTGAATTTACAAGTATACTTTAAATATTTAAAAAATACGAAAATCTTACATTTGACTTTAAAATTAAGAGTCTAAGGGGACTGGGAATTACAAGAGTCAGTAGTTATATACCAATGAAAAACGCTTAGGTTTGCTTGACTACAAGAACTGGGCGTTAGACGCCATTGTTGGAAAGAAAGATTTTTTAAATCTTTCGGTCCGGCATTTAAAGAGTGATACATGGTTTTTGTTGCGCAACTCATAAACGTGGCAATCGGCGCGCTTTGGTGGAATAAGGTGGTACAGCCGTGACCCAGGCACACAGATACCGTCCCAAACTTTCTTGCAGAGTTCGTCTCTTCGTTTTTTTTGTGTGCTGTTATTTTTGATGTTATTATTGTGTTGATACCCTTCCAATATTCAGTTTCTTGTCCAGATGTCCAGACCAACAGAAGATTAAAAAGCCCAGTTTGTTAAGTGCCATCTAATAAGTCGTTTTTACAAGTAATGTAGGATCAAGACTTATTCCATGTATAGCAAAGCCCGAAACGTACGATGTAGAGGGTTAAGAAATGATATTACAATACTCGAGGTTTCTCCATAAGTGTACCTTTAATTTCAGGGTTTGGTGTGACGAAACTAGCGACCCAGTATTGCTGTAGCTTGTACCGGTGTCCTGCCAGTAATGCCTCTCCCTTCAATGAGATGATAGGGTCAGACCTGTGTTAAAGCAGGCACCCTGTATTAAGCGATAGGTTGCCACAGTCCCGAATTTGTTTCCCCTTCATCACTTTAATTTTCTCCTCTATTGACCGGTCACTTAAAGTAGAACCACCCAAACAGAACTAGGAATAATCTTTCAAGTAAAATTTAATCCATGTTTCTTACACAAAATTAATGTTATTAACATTTTTGAGCGAGCGTTTGTGCATTAAATGATAAATTATAGCATGAAATGGCGTTTTTGATCTTATCTTTTTCTGTCATATACTGCCCCTCTTCTGTGGAACCTTTGTTGTGCGCCCAACCTGTGTTAAGCGGTCACCTTGCCATTCCGCGTGAGTAACCGCTAATAACATACAGTTCTGTTTGAAGAGGGGCCTTGCCAATAAAGACTCCTGCCTAAGAGCATAACGGGCTGACCCGGCCAAGGAACAGGAGATCCGAAGTCCAGTTCGCCAGCTCTTGTCTCGATGTCTGGAGAAAACTCTTAATTTCTAATAGGTAACTAAAACTTTCTTTTTATTTATCCAGCTGGGTTGATAAATATTGCCTCTTCATGGTTAAAACTATCGAAATTACTGATTTATTATAAATGTTTCGTTACATTATACAGTCCAATGTAAGCATAAAATAAACAATAAACCTAAAATCCGTGAACAAAACGTATGCAAGTAAAAAGAAATAAAGAAATTAAAGCTTGTTCAGAAGAAGCTATGTCTTGCTTGCGGTAAGGAAATCTTTCAAATTTTTCTTTGGGAATATTCTTTAATCGTTCCAATCCTCGTCGTGATTATCATTCCAATCCTCGTAGTGATTAAATCAAAAGAAATAAAGCAACTAAATCTGTGTGACCTCTTGTCACCTGCCTTTAAATTTGCACATACCTTCAGTTTAACAATTGTTAAACTCGCGTGAAAAATACGACTTAGTTTTACAAATTAAAACAAACAGAAGACGTGATATATTCTGTAAAGTACTAGGGAGTCAATGACCTTTATACAAAGTAAAATAAAAAGTTTGAAAATGTAAGAGCATTTCTCAATTGATTTTATAGCCAAAACCAAAATAATCACAATGGCCGACCAGTACAAAAGTCAATATTTCAAGAGTAAATGAGAACTCATAGTAAACACTCATATTTGACCTCAAACGCGGGAAAACACAACTGAGCTGGTTAACACAGCGGTCAAAGGTCCGCCATGCGCTAGAGGATCAATTCTGACTGGCCGTGCGCCGATTCCCGCGAAAACCTTTAAAGGAAAGATAAGAAACAACCGCTGTCTCACAAAGTCAGCGAAATAAAATAGAAACGGTCCTGTAAGTCTGTAAAAGGAAACAAAAATGTGGAAAAGGAAAACTCGAGACTTTTCGCACACCAATCTTATTCAAGTAACTTATTGGCTTTTGTGGTTGTTCGTAACTCGTGTGAGACAATTTGGTTTTGACAGCCTGAAAGCACTTTACCTAGTCATTACAACGATCGCACACCCACAGACCTTTGACCGCTGTGTGGAATTGGCTTTCTATCTGCATCGGAAAGTACGAGATAGTGGCAAGATATTTTTCGCCTAGTCAAGGGGCGTAGAGCAGCAAAACGATAGATTACCGCTTTGGTTTCGATACTCAATTCGAAATTTTAGAAATGAATTCTGAAAATAAAAGAAATTTACTGCAAGTCAATGGCCATTTTACAAAATGAAATGTAATGCAGAAATGTTACAATAAGAAAAACGTAGGTTATTTCAATAGAGCGACTAAAACAAAGCAAACAAGACTAGCCATGATGGAAAGACGCGACACAGTAGAAGCAGACTTTCCTGGAGACTTTGCTGATAGCCGTAGTTTATCCCTGTGAGTGACAATCTTGTGGAAAGACACGTTATTGGGTGACTTGAACGGCTGAGCCACAGGATTCATCTTCGTAACTGGTCGACGCCTGTTAAGATTCTTCGATCTCTTCCTTACAAGAGTGAAGTTAGCATATGCGATGGCATCTGGATCAATCGTGATTGTCTTTCTTGAATTTTTGTATTTTTTTTTAGCCACTCGGACGATGTAACTTCCAGGCACTAATAAACGCCAATAGTCCCCATCCTTATAGGTCTTTACCTTTTTGGCGCGGTTCTCGATGATGATTTTCGCGCCTTCAATCGGACGGCCCTTCTCGTCAAAAACAAAGCCCCTTATTCCTGTGTTATGCACCAATTCGATGTACTTGAGCAAGGCCTCTCGGTTTGCGCGCCAGTAGGAGTAGAGGTAACGAGCCGGGGGGTACTTACAGCAACCAAGTTCCAGAGTGATCTCGAAGCAGTTTCTGTTAAAAAAAGGGTAATAATAAAGGTGAATTACCATGATAGCTTGATTATCCTCAACTGAACGCAAAATAAGGACACTGTGTCATTGTTTTGATTAGAAGCAAATTCACACGACAGTTTGCCGTTTTCGAGTTATCAGTGTCATTACAGGTTGTCTCGGGCTCACGATGTAAGCAAACAACATCCTGGAATATCTAGTAAAGAGAGAAGTTAAACATTGGACATGAATGTAGAGCAAAGAAGGAAAGGGATACAAATCCAGCCAGTTCCAAATTCGCGATCTTATGCTTAACTTACAGAAGAAGTCGTTGACGAAATCGGCCATATACAAGGTTCTTATTTGATTAGCGCTCTAAACACCGCTTAGATCAGCAACAGAAAGCCTTCAGTTTGGAATTGGAGTATATTTTAACCTCGGTCTTCGACCATACCAAAATTATAGATCTTATTTATGAAGATTAAGGTAGACTGCTTACAAGCTGCTTACTGCTTACTTTAGTACCGTACGTTTTATAATAATTGTAGTCCTGCATTCCTCCAGAAATTGGATACCAAGCTGCACCGTTTGTGATCCCGTCAGGAAACTTCTCTGTTCTCTGGATCGGACATAGAGGATTCCCGTTGTGCATTGTGGGATGTGTATAAGAATAAAGTTTGGCGATATTGACAAAAATGTCGTCATCCGGGGAGCTGTAGTATACTCTAGTAGCGGACCTCTTGAGCTCACTTGGGAGGTTGTCAAATGGATAGTTGGCAACTAATGTCCCACCGTGTAAGTTTGCTGACAGAACAAATGGTTCCCGATGAATCCAGTTCATAATAGCTTGTGTCTCCGGCTGCAGTTCATTAGTTTGTCCTTCATAAGGGTCTGGAAAATTTCTATTTAAATCCACCCCGTTTGCGTTGAATCTACCTTTAATCCCCGTGCAGCCCACATGAGAACTCTCCCATCCATCAGGGTTCATTGATGGTAACAGATGTATTCGAGTTGTATCAATTAGTTTCGTTATCCTCTGGTCGCGCCCGTAGTTTGAACACAAATGGTCAGCTAACTGCAAAAGCAACTCGCGTCCCACAACCTCGTTTCCATGCATATTTGCCACGTACTTGAACTCAGGTTTGCCGGGCATATGTTTCCCAGGATTCTTTGTGATCTCGATTACCCATAAGCTCTTGCCCTGGTAGGATTTACCAATGGAATACAGCCGTGTGATGTTAGGATACTTGGCTGTCAGCGCCTCCAGTACCTGACGTAATGCAGTGTTGTTATGGTGGATGGGTCGCACAGGCAGGATATCACAGTGGGCCTCATTCACTCCGTAAACATAGTACACAAGAATCGCTAGCCAGAGAGTCCGCCATTTTGTTGCTGGTAACTTACTTTCCATCACTCCTGCTTTTAAAAAATAAATAAACAAATAAATAAACAAATAAAGCGTATTAATGATTTATCCTTGAAAGAAATTACTATCTCGAGCTTAGAGCGAAATAGTAGCATACTATTCCCTAAAAATACTTTATTCTCTTCACAAAAATAAAGTTTGCACAGTTATTTCGAATTGACACTATCCTTCAAGAAAGATCCTGCAATTGTTGGCGTGTTAGAGATTTGTTTTTCTCTACAACGCCATTTCGCAAGAGCTCACACTGACCCTTTTTTTGCGCCCAAATGACGCTGGTTACGCTCACCTACTGGTTTATGAAGACAGCGGTCACAGTGCCTTTGTACAATGTGACCGTCCAAGGTCTAAACGGTTCAGTTGATGACATGTTTGAATGAAGGGAAAGCCGAGGTTGGTACTCATATTTGACTTGCTAAAAGGACAACGCTGTTCTTACGTTCAGCGCTTTGCAAGCCAAAACGTAGTTTAATAAATTGATAATAAAACTATGCCTGTTCTCAAAGCCAAGTCCCAGGGCATCCCGTGTTGCTGCATGCGGTTAGGAGGGCTCGACTGACAATTCGCAACCGCTCTCTGGTTGAACCACAGAGATAATTTCTTTTATTTCGATTCTAGAAACATTTCGCTTGTTACTTTTGAGCGAGTATTATTATTTTGAGTGCAGCTATGTCCTCTTCTTAAATCTTAAATCGTCTTTTTCTTAAATGAGAATTAGCTTTTAGATCCCTTGGGGATTTCCTCTTTGCTACTCTAAATTAAAACGCTTAATCTGATTTCTTTTTTCACCATTTCTTTGATTGATGATTGGAGGGAGGTGCATTCAACTCATCATGGCTAACAAGATTAAATAAAAAGAAATTTTGGACATGATGTTTCACCAGTTGTTGCGGAACAATTTCGAATTCTTGCCATCATCACCGGATACTTGGTTTGTCGGATCTTAACCCTTTTAAGTGCTTCAAGAATAACATCGAAATGTCACGTGTTGGCAACACATTACATCATTGTGTTTTGAGAACTCTTAAGCAGTTACAAAGATTATTGTTGTTGTATTAGCCTTTCCCGAAATATTTCAGATGCTTAAGATCCAAAACTCATTCCCGGCTATTCAGTATTTTTTTTTTTGTTCCTCTCCATTCTGCTCCATTTGCTAAATATTGGGTAATGTATTTCATAATATTATCGATTGGGACATTCGTTGGTTTCAAGGCACATACAAAGCATAGCGCCGCCGTGTAACGGCGAATAGTTAGCGGACACAATTACACAGGGTGCTGAGAGATACCACCAAGATTACATTTCAGATGCGTTTGAAAGTCGCAGGTGGCTGCTGCTACATCAATAGACTCTTTCTAACAGTAGGCACAAATAAATCTTCTAGCATAGTTCAATGCTTCAGGACGTTTTACGGCCACTAGCCTGAAATAATAATATCCATTGTCTTTGTTGTGGACTTGGAAAGGAAAGCGGGAACCGGATAAAGGAGGTTTCCCAATAAGCACGAGGTTTGGCTAGTCTTGGGCGGCTCTCGTGGATTAAATTTCATGACTATTTGTGAATAATAGGGTTCCAAAGTCTTTCCGAAAACATTGAAAGAATAATGCAAAAAAAAAATGAGGAGACATCATTCATTTGTACTGTCAACTTCGTGTCTAAATCTTGAGGACAAGCGCTAAGAACTTCAGGAAGCGTGACCACTTAGCTCCCAAACAATTATTCATTCAACAACTTTGTGGCCTCTGACTCACCTCGTCTGCTCGCAGCAGCTTGCTTAACGGAATTCTTTTCTTTACCACCGGCACAATAGTGGACTTTGACAAGATGCGTCCTTCCCAAACTGTACAGACAAATTCATCCAAGACCGATATGAACTACAGGATCGGAAACGTGTTCGACACCTCAAAATCGCAACTGGAAAGGAAGGTCTGGTTCACGAACTATTCAACAACACACACTCTGTGATTTGATCGGTTTTCTGTTAAATCACTTCCGGTTGATCTCAAACCGCAAAACCGCCAAATCTCTTCAACTCCTGGAGAACAATGGCATCTAGAAACCTCTATTCATTGTTTTAAAGATTGTGGCTTGTTATTTCTGGCGAAAGCAGCCACAATCAATGAAGTATTATCGCTACTGTTTCCTGTCTTCGGATAGAAATATCACGAACTTAAGTCCTGTGCTAAGTAGCATGTTAAAATCCTCCTCATTTCTTCGTCTCGAAAAGGAGCGTCAGCGCGAGCATAGACCACTGCTATTAGGGATTTTTCAGCAGGAAATACACAAAGGTTACAGGGAAGCGCTAAGTTCGTTATGTGATTAATGATCCCCTTGTCTGGAATTGATGTTTACCTCAGTACCCTATCCTCTCTTTTTTTTTTACGTAAACTTAAAACTACAACTGCTTTTAATTTATACACTACACAAATCCAAGCCAGCATGCATGGATGGCGCCACAGCGGCCGAAAAAAATGACATTTAAGCAACACCCCACGCCGTGATGGGATTTCCCATAAAAATCCTAAATTCTGTTTCAAACTAATACAATCTGTCATACGCCTGAGTTTTTGCTTGTGAAAATAAAAGAAAACGGAGATTCACCGACAGAAAAATACTTCGTCTCAATAAGTGACTGACAAACAAGCTATTGACGGTGGAGTAAGTGTATTTATTTGGATAGCGAGCGAGTAGGTCCTTATTCTTAATGTTGCGGATCGCGCGTTTCTCCGCCCGCGGGAAGATTTGACACAAGTCGAGGAGACGTTTGACGGGGCTCTGGCTGACCTCTCGCCACAGGTAGCCCAAGCTCGCAAAATGAGCCTCCTTAAATAAGCAAACACTGTATGTTTATGTTGCGCAATGGGCGAAATATGAGGATTTGTATGGGAATAACCGCTCGCATTCTCAACCTAAAATTTCGGAACTAATTTGAAATTAAAACAAACTTACACCACTTAATTGGTTGTTCCCTTGTATCGTACCGTCGTGAACTATCTGGGCTGAATTAGGACTATTTCGTTCGGTTTTATATATACTTCAGAACAGTATACAGTCAGCTAGATTATAATGTACTACAATGCCGCATTTTTGCGCCTCACACTCTTTATTAAGAGCAAAATAAGTGTGTCGGTTTTAGATGTAGATCGCTATAACATGACTAAATGTAACACTTCTTACAGAGGACCCCCTAATGTGAGGATATTATAAGCTGTCAATGGAAACTTTCTCTTGTAAATGTGAGACCTGAATCCATGAAAATTACCCGGTGGGGCCACTCCTCTCTCCATTTTCACAGAGTCCTGGGTTAGTAACAAAAATGTAACCGAACATTTTCACGATATTTCAGTACTCATTTTTAAACTACTATTGACTAGGCCACCTAAATAACATTTTACTAATCATTTTTGTCAAGAAAATGAACCACCAATGTCCACATCAAATTACGGTCGAATTATCAATTTGCCTGCGAGATTTAAAATTTTCTTTGTTTTGGCCAGTTTTTCTAAGTAAACAAACCTGGAATTGGACCGTCACCAGGAGAAAGGTTAAATACATAAACCAATGATATGAACCTAACAGAAAGAACATATAATTTTTTGGCTCCTTCATTTGATCAGTTTTCTTCTTTTTTTTTTGTTGCATGTTACATGAAGTAAACTAAAAAGTTCATAGTGTCTATTCGTCGAACATCTTTGTTTCAACATGTCAGGTACTGCTGACAAAGATATATGTGAGCGAGGAAAAATGGTAGATTGTAACGGTCTTGTTCTTAACGGTTTTAAGCTGTTTGAACTCACTACCCGTCTATCAATTACACCACATTAACATGACATGAGAGAATATTTATCCCTGTACGATAAACTTGAAAATTTATGGCTTTCCTTCTGTCGGAAAAATTGCGGTAAACTGAGTTGTTATCTTTCGAATCAAGGCAGTTTGTTTCGAAAACTGCTTGTGTGCCACGACTTAAAACGTAGTACATACGACTGATTAACGTAAACAAGCTCTAGGAAACTGGCTATTTCGAACGAAATTATCATCGAGCGTTTAAAAAACATTAAAAGATTTCGTAAAAGATTTTATCTCTAAAATATACTGTACCACAAAACGTTATCGCATTTTTTAAACTACAAAATCAGGGTTCAATGATTAACCCAAATATTAAATTAACCTTGAAACCTTACCTTACCTTACCGGCACCTGTTGCCCGCTTCAGTGACCTTGATTTCCCGTCAAGAAATCCATGAATCATCAGACACTTCAGAGAGATTTGCCGTGAAGGCCTGACCTTTCTATATTTTCCTGATTAGCAGTTGACGATGAATTCTCATAGTGAGTAAATGAGATGGCAAATCTTTCACTAAAACAGCTTGTCTATATTTAGATGAGATAATCTCGTGGAAATTAAACTTAATGTAAACATGACATCAATTTTCCCGGGACCACTTGCTTTTGGCAATGTCTGCAGCGCACTACTGCAGGTTGATAATTGTTTTCTGAAAGGCATTCGTCTCCTGTTTTTGATATAGAATAATCTTTTTTAGATCTATCAAACCTTAAACTCTTTTTCAAAAAAAAAATACCGGGGTCCAGTCGTAATTGTATAAAGAGTGGATAAAGCCATCCAACGGATAAATAGGTACCCAGCGGATATGTGATGGCAAAGCGTTTACCGTTATCCACTGTATAGAGATTTGTTTTGTGGATAGTGTTACACGACCTTCGGACAATCGAGGCCAGATTTGTCGCGAAACACTTACGTGGCCCTCGTTATGATAACGAGGGTAGTACTTAGCGCGCGGGAAAATGTGGCATGCAACGTCACAAATCTCGTGGACTGTTCGCGTCAATGGAGTTCGCCACAACATCATAACGTCTGTTTGAAAATTGTTCTGTACTCGGTTTGCTTTTATATTGCCGTTTAAAATAAGAAACTCTCCATACACAAAAGAAAATGAATGGTGGAAAGACTGACAAGTTTCCTGTCATTGCTAAAGGTAAGTTTTCTAGTTTGCGGTTGTTTAGTTTCAGTTTTCATAGTTCTTTCAAAGTTTGTTACTTGTTTATCTCTTTCACATCGTCTTCGCAAAAAAGAGCCCCAAACATTCGTTGAGAATCAGCTCCAAGACAAAGATCGTAAACCTGAGTCCGGTGTAACTGAAGGACTGGTGGAGAGGCAGAAACAAGCTAGTTCTCTTATAGAAATGTTTCAGCAAGAGGCGCTGAATGAAAAACAAACTCGCCTCCTCGCTCAGTTGAAGGCGCTTGAAAAGGTTTGCTTTGAGCTTTTATTGAACATGTAAGCTTCATACTGATGATAGCTTTGATATCAGGAAATAAATTAATTTTCAGGACAGGTTAGCAACAGATGCGTGGAAAATAATTGCAGCTCTGAAGAAGGAAAAAGGATTACTTGAGGTAAAACAGCAAATAAACGTACATCACTTAAGTCAAGCTTATATCTCTATTGTTGTTGTTGTTCTCGTTTTAAAGTTTGCCAACTGCACAAAATCATTTTTCTCTAAATGTTAGAGTAAAGTTCAAAAGCTCACAGCACAAAACAGCAACCTCACTGGTGGAAAAGATGGAGCTGGAAATTGCAAAAGGTTAGCTTTAGCATAGAAATGAATT